TACTGGTCTGGCTGACCGATGCCGTGGTGCTGCTAGTCTCAGTGTGCGTCTCTGTATAAGTCGTCTGTGTTGCACTGATCGTCGTCCCCGTCGCCGTGCTCGTCCTTGTGGTCGTGGACGTGGTGACGCAACATGGAGGGGCACAAATCACGTTGCACTGGTCCTAAGATTGGCCCCTAAGAAAACCTCTGAGAAAAATCAATTCCAGAGTATGATCCCCTTAAACCCAAACTGAATCTGATCCTCTTAAACCCAATCTGAATATGATCCTCTTAAACCCAAACTGAATCTCTTAAACCCAAATCTGAATATGAACCTCTTAAACCCAAACTGAATCTGATCCTCTTAAACCAAAAAATCAACAAGGGAACATCTAAAATTTGTCAAGGCCCTACCGAGTGTCGATTAGAGCCACACCTTCGCAGGTGAGGCCGGCCATGGCCAAACTCTCACATGTTGCCTGGTACTTGCAGATGCCTTGGTAGCCCAGTAGCTTTATTACAATAAGGTTTAGGTTTAGGGTTTAGGGTTTAGGGTTTCGGGTTTAGGGTTTAGGGCTATAAGGGAACCTTGAACCAAAAAAAGGGTAAAGGGTACCTACCCAGATGCCCTTCCAGGTGTTTGGTGGGCACCAGTACGGCTTCTGGACGTCGATTGCCGACATGCAGGCCAGAATCGCCCAGGCTAAGCGCAACCGGGCCATTTTTCCCGGCGGCCCTAAGCCCAAAACCTCGAGAATCTATGGGACGGAAAGCTGGGCCTGCGGCATGTGCCTTGAGCCAAAGGCGGAAGCATGTACATCGCATATGGAGATGGCACCCGTTGGCGGCGCAATTGGTGAGATGTGTAGCTCGCGACCTCCGGCAACTCAACCGGCTGCAATCACGTTGAAGCACGAAGACTTCGATGAAAGTCTCAGGTAAACCGGCCAATTCTCCCACGAAACCCCTCCTCTGTCCTGAAGCCCGTGGCCTGACATCAGACTGCACAAGTGGGTATAGCTTGGCAAGAAGCCAAACTCCCCTCATGAGAAGAAGGAATGCAACCGAGCCTCGGCTCGATGTAGGCCCAAACCCTCAACCCCAAACCCTGAACCTTGAGCCCTAAACCCCTAAACCTTAATTAAACCCTAAACTCTAAACCCCAAACCCTAAACCCTGAACCCTAAACCCTAAACCCCAAACCCTAAACCCCAAACCCCGAACAAGCCCTAAAGTCCTATAGGCGCAGGCCCGATAGGATCCCTTCAGCATGGCCCGTGGCTCAGGGGCGCTTGGCCCTTCGAAGGCTCTCAACGTCTCCAACTCAGCTCCGAAAATCATCAAGGGCCCGGGTTTAAGGTTTAGGGGTTAGGGTTTAGGGGTTAGGGTTTAGGGTTTAGGGGTTAGGGTTTAGGGGCTAGGGGTTACGGTTTAGGGTTTAGGGTTTAGGGTTTAGGGTTTAGGGCTTCCCCGCAGAATGGCCCTTCTGCAAGCCGCTGGCTTGAACTGGGAATTCTTAGGGGTAGTTTCATGGTCCCTTATAATATGGGCCCCTAAAAGGGGACTCCTTATATGCCCCTTCAACCCTAAACTCTATACAGGGGGATGGTTCAAACCCTAAACCCTAAACCCTAAACCCTAAACCCTAAACCCTAAACAGAGGGATGGTTCAAACCCCCCTGTACGTTGGCTCCTTGAGCTCATGGATCCAGGGAAAGTGGTGCCCGAGCACCTCGTGGAAGCCCTGAGAGTTGGAGTTTAAGGTTTAGGGTTTAGGGTTTGGGGTTTAGGGTTTAGGGTTTCGGGTGTAGGGTCTATATATATATATATATATATCTAGGGTTTGGGGCTCAAAGTTTGCAGAATTTGGTAGGGTTCGGGCTGGTGGCTTTTGGATGAGTTTTTGGGATTAGAACTCCCGAAGCCTGATTGAAAAGCAGATTGCTGCCCTAAACCCTAAACCCTAAACCCTAAACCCTAAACCCTAGACCCTAAACCCATCGGCCTGGGGGTCCTCCATCTGCAAGCCCACCACGCAACGGCGCAGCCGCCAGATGGCCGTCCGCGCCTGGGAACCTACCCCAAACTCCTGAACCCTCAAACTCCTAAACCCAGAACCCAAAAACCCGAAACCCCTAAACCCTAACACCCGAATAAAACCCTAAAACCCCAACTCCTAAACCCAAAACCCTAAAGCCCGAAAGCCCTAAACCCTAAAACCCGAATAAAAGCCTAAAACCCCAACTCCTAAACCCCTAAAACCCTCGACCCTGGCGACTGTTCTTTGAATCGTTCGGGCCGAAGTCAACGCGACCAACAAGACGCGACACTCCAAACTCAGCTCAAGGCATCGGAACCGAGTAGCGACGGTTTAGGGTTTAGGGTTTAGGGTTTAGGGTTTAGGGTTTAGGGTTTAGGGTTTAGGGTTTAGGGTTTAGGGTTTAGGGTTTAGGATGATTCTCACCATTGCGTATGGGTACAGACTTCGAATTCGCATTCGTAAGAGCATCCCTGTAAGCACCTGCGGTTGGATGAGGGTGCAGGGAGTAGCGCATTGCGATGACACGACGGCCTGACCGTGCTCCGGGTCCAGCATCCACGCCAGCCGGTTCCTGGGCTTGAGCTGAGAGCTGCAAGGTTGTGTAGGGGTTAGGCTTAGGGTTTAGGGTTTAGGGTTTGGGGTTTAGGGTTTAGGGTTTAGGGTTTAGGGTTTAGGGTTTAGGGTTTAGGGTTTAGGGTTCAAACCGTTTCGGCATCCTGGAACCGGTCTGCCCTCTGAACCACGGCATTCAGGCACCGTGTCGGGTGGGTTCGCGGGGGGCCCGTGGGAGCCTTGCAAGGGGCCTTCATCCCTGTGGCCTGTGCGTGCTCAGTTCTGCACCAGAGCCCTATGTTCAGCTTATTGGATAAAAAGTCTATATATATATACATATATATGGATATGTATATATGCATTCTTGTCTTAGCTATTTTTTAGATCTTAACCCTACAAGTTGTTCTTTCAAGCGTTGCGGTGAGAACGAATTGCCAAGCCGCTGCGGCCCGCCGAGGAAGCGGAAGTAGAACTTCTCCTCGGGATCTAAGATGGGCTAATTAAGGGGTATAGAAGGTTCCCTTAACCTTCTTCCCCTATATAACCCCTATATACATTATTTCGCCCCTATATACCTAAGTAGCCTGAAATAACCTCCAAGTATCCCTAAGGTCCCTTGTAAGGGTCTCTCCTTGAATTCCTTGAGCTCAGCCTACTGGATCTGTCACCCTAAACCCTCTCTCTCAAAACCTTTTTGCCAGAGGACTCCCGAAACCCTAAATCCTAAGCCAGCTCCCCCAAGAAACACAAAACGCCCGAAAGCCTTCCATGACATCCGGACCGGGTCCTGCGCTTTCTTGGGCCTCACCCGATGGGACAGCGGGTGTGCCGTGCCCGTCTTGTCCAGATCCACGCAGAGCATGTTCTCCCTGAAGGTTTAGGGTTTAGCGTTGGAGGGTTTTCAGTTTGAGAGTTTAGGGTTTACGGGGGCCGAGGGGGGGGGGGGGTACGAATGCATGCCCAAAGTCCTGCTGAGCCCTACTGCGCATGATCTTGACTTTTTGGGGTTCCATGAAACCAAAGTTACTCTCCCCTCCCCCCCGGGCCAATGCCTGTTGCAGAACAGGCCCGTCTCCTGTGGCGGTGAGCTCTGCTTGCTTCGTGGCTGCGGTGAAGCCCAATAGTTAGATGGGCAAGCCTCTCTGTGTCTGTGTCTGTGTGTCTGTGTCTGTGTCTGCGTGAGAGTATGAGAGTGCGTCAGCGTGCGAGCGTGTCAGAGTTTGAGAGTGTGAGAGTGTGAGTGTGTGAGTGAGTGAATGTGTGAGTGTGTGAGTGTGTGAGCGTGTGACTGTGCGAGTGTGTGAGTGAGTGAGTGGGTGGGTGGGAGTGAGAGTGAGTGAGAGTGAGAGTGAGAGTAGTGAGACTAGTGAGAGTAGTGAGAGTAGTGAGAGTATTGAGAGTAGTGAGAGTAGTGAGAGTAGTGAGAGTAGTGAGAGTAGTGAGAGTGTGAGAGTAGTGAGAGTAAGAGTAGTGAGAGTGAGAGTGAGAGTCAGAGTGACAATGAGAGTGAGAGCGAGAGTGAGCGTGATAGTGAGAGTGAGAGTGAGTGTGTGTGTGTGTGTGTGTGTGTGTGTCTGCCTGCTTGCCTCTGTGTCTGTGTCTTCGTCTGCGTCTGTGTCTGTGTGTCAGAGATTGGATGGGCTGGGATCTGCTATTGAAAGCAGGGTGCCCAAAACTGATGCGGCTGACGACCTAACTTTCAGAAACTGGAGGGTTGCGGAAGGTTGCCTAGTTGCAACAACGATACCAAGAGCCCAACCTCCAAACTTGTAGGGTTTTAGGGGTTTAGGGTTTAAGGTTTAGGGTTTGGGGTTTAGGGTTTAGGGTATTGTATGTTTGGCTGGCGCCTGCCCGTCGTACCAAAGACGCGTGCGCTGCACTCCGCCTGAGTCACTGTGGCTTTAAGGGCGCCTAAAAAGCTTACGGGTTCTAAGGAATTCGGTGCCATGTATTAGGGTTTACGGTTTAGGGTTCCTGTATATCACTGAAAGGGACTATGCAGGGAACCTTCTGGACTCTGCTGAAACTTCGCTCTCCTAGCCAGGCCTCATAGCACCCTGCAGCCCCAAACGGCTTTGTAAGTTTTTGGGGGCTTCAACCCTAAGCCCAAAACCCCAAACCCGGACCCTAAACCCTAAACCCTAAACCCTAAACCCTAAACCCTAAACCCTAAACCCCCCGTTTGGAATTCGGGTCCCCGGCCCCCAGATGACTCTTTCCCAGCCAAGCGGCGTAGGTAGCGCCGCCAGGCCGCCGCGCTCCAACCTGCAGCTGCATGATGGGTTTAGGGTTTAGGGTTTAGGGTTTAGGGTTTAGGGTTTAGGGTTTAGGGTTTAGGGTTTAGGGTTTAGGGTTTAGGGCGAGTTGCAGGGTCTTGGGGGGTCTGAGGATTCCAGGGCCGTGGGCGGGACCCTAAACCCTTTTTGCCCAAACCACTTCCGCACAGCATCACTTCACTTGCTTTAGGGGCGAAAGCCCTAAGGCTCGAACCTGAACTACAACCTCAAATACCCTTATGCTAGAATGTGTATATATGTGTATACATTGTAGATGAAACTATATCATATACACAAACAAGTATGTATTTATAGTATGACATACTATGCAATATACATATAATATATATATATATATATATATGCTTTCCATTACAATGACACATGTCTATATGTACATATACATGTACTCGGCGCACTCTCACGTCAATCCGACGTCGAGCCTGACGGGCCGCGCCCGAGCCCTTGCGCAAAGCGACCATCCTGTGTGCACAGACGGGCTGGCCTAAAGAAGTAGAATAGGCGTGTGATTTTATTTTGTTTTTTTTTTTGGGGGGGGGGAGTATTATAGTATGATTATAAGGGTTTGGGGGGGGGGGGGGGGGGGGGGGGGGGGTTATATCATTATAAAGGGACCATAAGGGAATACCATAAGCAGTTTATTCCGACCCCCTTCTTTTAGATGGGGGGAAGTGCGGTCTTCACCCCCTCCAAGGCTCTTGCGGTCCGCTCGCGGTAGTAGGACAAGAAGCGGTCAACTGGGTCGCGAATAAGCACGAAGCACCGGACCTTGCGCAGGAGAAACCGCTTCCCCGGCTCAAGGCCTCGAATCTTGATAAGTTTCATCGATAAAAAGTGGTTTACGCTCACCGCGGAGGGCTGCGTAGCTCACAACTCGAGCAAGCCAGATGAAATCTTGCGAGCTCTAAGCCCGGTTATTCGATTATTCATTCAAAAGCTCCCAATTGTGCCAGGGCCGGGGTTCGCAGAGAAGAAACCAAGCTGCCCATCCTACCCCGCAGGCCTTCTGCCGGCTTGGGCAGTCGATGCCTTCATGCAGCGCGCGCCTTGCAAGTGCGCTTGGTGCAGCGTTTGGGAGTTGCAAGCACAGCAGATGAAGGGTCCGGAATCCCAAGAAGCACGGTCCAGCACAGGCTATCCTTTATACATCCTTTTGGGGCACTGGGGCTTAGGGTTTAGGGTTTGGGGCACAGGTGCTCATTTTTTGCTAAGGCTTGGCCTGAGCACCCAAACGCAAGCGAACCCCGTAATAGGCTGTGAGCGAGGCCAGTCGAAGTGGCCAGAGACGATTTCGAACCTGGCTGCCAGGGAACAACGATAGATGCCCAGGACTCGGGCAACTTCGAGCCGAGTAGCCTTAGAATCAAACTTCAGAGGCCTAGGCTCTTGGGAAACTAGGGTGAACCGAAAGTTTTTGGGCTTAGGAGTCTGGGCTTTGCTCGGACTCCTAATGATTGTTTACCCCTAAGAGTTTCCTCTTCATGTACTCCTAATATGGCCCTTATTATTCTCTTAGAGGATTCTTAGAAAGGGAGCCCAAGGGTACAACCTCAAGCCTAAGGGTCCGAGGTAAAGTCCGATGACCATCTGTCCACAGCCTAAGTGTTCAGGGCAGTTGCAAATGCCTGGTGTGGCAGCCATTGAGTACCAACCCATGGGTCATCTTTACCAAGGTCTAGGGCTTCTGCTTCAGGGCTAGTGAAACAAGAAAACTACCGAGCACTTAGCCCAGAACGTGTCTTGATCCTATTCTTCGTAGTTTTCTACAGTAGCATATGATTGGGCTGTTTAAGGCAGCCTGAACCCTGCAAGTCCTGAAGCCCTTCTTTACCCGAAATCTCCTTAAACCTTGAACCCTAAACCCTAAACCCTGAACCATAAACCCTCCCTGAACCCTAAACCCTAAACCCTAATTAGCCCGAATGAACCCAGAACCCGCAACTAACCCTCAACTTGGCCACCTTGCCCTCTGCTGCGGCCCAGCCGTCTTCAGGTAGAATGGGCTTCCCACCTGGAACTGAGTCCCAAGGTCGCCCAAGCCGACTCAGGGTTTGGGGTTTGGGGTTTGGGGTTTTTAGGGTTTAGGGTTTAGGGTTTGGGGTTTAGGGTTTAGGGTTTAGGGTTTAAAGTTTAGGGCTTAGGCTTTAGGGTTTGGGGTTTGGGGTTTAGGGTTTTTTGCCACCCGGTTTAGGGTGTAGGGCTTAGGGTTTCGCGAAGCTTGCGCTCTGCAACCTGAGCCTAACTCCAGCGGGGGATGTTGCTAAACCCTTAACCCGGCCTTCCTTTTTTTGAAACCTGAACCCTTTTGCCCTGCTTTAGCCTTTGTCCCCTAGACCTTTGAACCCCCCCTACACCCTACAAACCCTAAACCCTACAAACCTTGAACCCTACAAACGTAAACCCCTGCAAACCCCCAAACCCTGCAAACCCGAAACCATACAAACCTTGAACGCTACAAACGCTAACCCCTACAAACCCGAATCGACGCCCTAAACCCTAAACCCTAAACCCTAAACCCTAAACCCTAAACCCTAAACCCTAAACCCTAAACGTTACGAGGAGATCTTCGGGCTGCGATAGTTCAGACATGTTCTCGTGGGAATGAGGCTTTGCCGGCGTCGTGGGGGGGGGACCCCTTATGTGCCCCGTATATACCCTAGACAACCCAAGGGCCCATACTTCAGAACCCTTTCAAGAAGGCAAGGTTTAGGGTTTAGGGTTTAGGGTTTAGGGTTTAGGGTTTAGGGTTTAGGGTTTAGGGTTTAGGGTTTAGGGTTTAGGGTTTAGGGTTTAGGGTTTAGGGTTTAGGGTTTAGGGTTTAGGGTTTAGGGTTTAGGGTTTAGGGTTTAGGGTTTAGGGTTTAGGGTTTAGGGTTTAGGGTTTAAGGGACCCTGTAACCACCCTTCGAGGGGCATACCGGGCTAACCCTAAACCGGTAGGGTTTAGGGTTTAGGGTTTTAGGGTTCAGGGTTTAGGGTTTAGGATTTAGGGTTTAGGGTTTAGGGAGCCCTACACCCTAAACCCTAAACTGTTTGAGGTTTTCAGGAGTCTCGGATGCAACCGGGCCCTAAGTGCTCGACTGCGACCGGATGGCCGGGCATGGTGTACCTGGAGCGGGCTGAGAAGGTTCGGATTCTCCTGAGCCCTTGGATTGTTTTGGGTATATGAGGATACATATATATATATATGTATATTAATACCTATATATATATATATATATATATATATATGGGTGGTTGTCAAAATCATGCTCCCTTTTTGGATCCCTGTTATAATACGGCACCTAATATTTAGGGTACCCCAAAAGGGATCATAATTTTTACAGCCACCCATATATATATATATATATATATATACTCTGAGGGTGCCTCTACAACCCCTGAAAACCCCTTCTGAACCCTAAACTCTGCACCCTAAACCCTGAACCCTGAACCCTTGTCAACGCTCGCAGCACGCAACGCAGAGACCGTAAGCTGCCGGGCATGAAGGCAGAGTCGAGTTTGCCCAGCTTCCAAACCTGGCCAGGGCCGCTGTTGGTGAGGTTCAGGGTTTAGGGTTTAGGGCTTAGGGTTTACGGTTTAGGGTTGTTTTTTTGGGTTTAGGGTTTTGGGTTTCTGTTTAGTCTTTGGGGTTTAGGGTTTAGAGGGCGTTTTAGGGTCTTACGAGCTTCAAGCATTATAATGCAACCCCCCCGAAACGCAGCAGCCCTTCCCCTTTCGCTCGCGTCTTCTCAGGACCCCCACGGAGTACTTGAGCCACTGCATGAAGGCTGTGCCACCCGACTTCTCCTTGGCAGCGGAGCACGTAGAACAAGGCGCCGAAGTACCGAAGCCCCGTGAACCCTAAAAGGGTATAATGGTTCATATACCTCAAAATAGGGATTCTAGTAGTATTGGGTATATGACCCCAATTGTTAGGCTACGAGGATCTGGAAACCGGGATATCGGGCAGGCGAATTGTGTTGGAATGTAGCGGAAGTAGGTCGAACAGGCAAAGGCGTGCCCATGCTCGTTCATGATTAGGGTTTAGGGTTTAGGGTTTAGGGTTTAGGGTTTAGGGTTTAGGATTTAGGGTGCCGGGGTAGGGCAGTTCTAGCCTCCGCCTACACCGACTGAAGTCAGCTTCCTCAGATTCGGTCTTGGGTCTTGAGTTTTAAGGGGCATAAGGAGGGATGTGTAGAAGGGACCCTTCATGATTTTCCCCTGTATAACCCCCTATGTATACCGTGTGTAGTCCCTATACTCCTTCCTAGCCCCTAAAGAGCCCCCAAGTAACCCCTAAGGCCCCTTACAAGGGTCCCTTGGTCCCTGAATAAACCCTAAACCCTAAACCTAAACCCACGGAGTCCAAAAATGCAGCTCGGCCTCATCCCAAAGGAAAACGAACGGCTCTTCTGGGCTGGGCACGTCCTGCAGCCAACTGGCCGGCCGGGTGCCCGAACAAGGGTTTGAGGTTTAGGGTTTAGGGTTTAGGGTTTAGGGTTTAGGGTTTAGGGTTTAGGGTTTAGGGTTACTCTCCACTCCCCCCCCCGACCGGTGTTCAAGGCACCTTGTGGCCCGGGGCCCTCCACAAGTGAACAGGAGACCCACAAGCGCCCCCGCAAGCATTCGTCCCCAAAGCACTGGCTTAGGGTTCAGGGATGTGTTTTGGGTTTAGGGTTTAGGGTGGCTGAACCCGAAAGCCTTGGATTCAACGGACGACTCCGTCCCCCTTCCCCCCACAAAAACATGTAGGTATGTGTGTACATATATACATATATATATATATGTATATATATATATACAGGGCCTTGAAGCCCGAAGCCTTTAAAACCCCAAGCCCTCAGCATTCATCGCATTTTGAGGCTCTCAGCTCTAACATCTCGCAACCCGCAAGTTCCACTTGACGGAGCTCCGCTCTGAAACCCTTGTTTGCCCCAGGTCTCTCTGACGTGAAACCCTTTTTCGAACCCGTGCTCTCTGACGTGAACCCCTAAACCCTAACTTCTAGGGCTTGCAAGGGCTCCTGCACCCATGGAGGACCATCGAGCGGGGAGAACAGCGTCGTCCCATAGGGCCCACCTCAGGAACGCAGGTTCAGCTGATCGATTTTTTGAAGGGAACACCTCTAAAGCGTTTGTGGGTGTTGGGCTTTAAGCCTTTTTGCCGCCCAGCCCAACTCCAAGGGGGTTGAAGGCAGGGGATGAAAGTTGTAAGGGGTCCTTGTTCCCATATCACGGCTTACTACGGCCTGTTTCGGATTATGAAGCCCTTGTTCGGAAAATATGGGGCAAGTACACCCCCCCTTCCACCCACTTGGTTCCTTATGAGAGCTTCTGACTTGGGGATCAGTTGGGCATCTTGCATTCTGAGCTGCCGCTGCCGCAAGCCGCGTCGTCCAGGGGCGGGAAGGACAAATTCTGCACGCAACAGCCTGGAGAACCCTTCTGCCTAAACCCGAAGCCCCTAACGCCCTGTAGAAGCAGTCTCCCCAACCCTCAAAAGGCCTACCTAGATACGTCTGCGCCTGTACAACTCGCAGAACCCATGAGTCGAGGCCTGGAGCTAATTTGCAGAGTCTTCTTGGCGTGTGGGGGGGCCTTTGGGGGAGGGCACGGCTCAGAACTTCATGGTCCCTTACAAGAGTCAAGCTGATCAGTAGTAAGCTCCGAAAGGGCCAAACCCTACACTCTGAACCCCTAAGCCCTAAAGCCCTAACGTCCCCTAAACCCGTTTTTGGCAGCTGGGCTCGCAGCGACCGCCAGAATGCGGGCTTTCCCCAAAGCCCCCAAACCCCCCAAAGTCCCCAAAGTCCCCACGGCAAAGTCTCCAGAGTCCTTAAAGACCCCAAAGCCCCCAAAGTCCCCAAAAAGACGCGCACTTCACCCCACTCTCGGCCAAGCTGCGGTGGAAGGTCCAGAAGTCGTCGAAGCAGCCTCAGCCGACATGTGGAGGGTTGTACCTTCTGAACACTCCGTGGTGGGTTTAGGGTTTAGGGTTTAGGGGTGGGGCGGGGGTGGGGTTCAGGGGTTGGTCAGGCTTCTTCTTCTGCTTATTATTCTTTCGCACTCTTTTTTTTTTCTCTCTCTCTCTCTCTCTCTCTCTCTCTCTCTCTCTCTCTCTCTCTCTCTCTCTCTCTCTCTCTCTCTTAGGGTTTGCGGACTCAGCCATTCATGCAGCTTGCAGCTTTCTCAAGGCACAACCGGTTGCTCCAGGTAAGGTTACCCTCGGAAGGTCCCTTGTACGCCTGATCTGCCGACTCGGGCCCAAACCCGTCAAAGACTTCTCGCCCGATTCCTAAACCCTCCACCCTACGAAAGCAGCCAACTGCCGCAGCAACCCCGGTCATTTTGACCCCAGACGCTAACCCCTAAACCCTTTTTAATCAGGAAGGAGCTGTGGCATATGCCAGGGAGCGAAACTCATCCACACAAGCCTTCTCAATGCTCTCGAGAGGGCATCATCTGCAACCCTGGACTCTGTACCCTAACCCCAAGCCCTTCAAGGGTTTTGGGGTTTAAGGCGCCCTTCAACCCTTTTTTCACAAGGGACTCGACTGCTGCCCTTTCTGCGCCTCCAGCCCTAAACCCCTTAAAACAAGCGGCCCTTAATCCCTAACCCCTTCTTTTTCGAGGAGGGACTGCAGTGCGGCTTAGCCCCTAAACACCGAAACTCCTTCAACCCTAAACCCTAAACCCTAAACTTCTGTCCCGAAAGGCCAGGTGCGCCCTGCAGCCCGAAGGCCAGATCGCAGCAATGCTCCTGGCAAATCTGGGTTTCGGGCTTGGGCTTATGGGTTATGGGTGATGGGTTATGAGTCATGGGTTATGGGTTATGGGCCGTTATGGGTTTAGGGTTTAGGGTTTAGGGCTTGGGGTTTAGGGTTTAGGGTTTGGGGTTTGGGGTTTAGGGTTTAGGGTTCAGGGTTTAGGGTTACTCACAGCCCTTAATATGGCTTACAGTACCCCTGTTATAATCCCTATGAAAGGACTGTGAGTATAAAAAGGAAAACATCCCAACATATGGGTTTAGAGTTTAGGGGCTTCGACTCTGACACTAGCGGGCTCGGGCGAGGATCCATTACGGGGTTTGGAGTTCAGGCTGCCGGGGGTCGACTTTAGAATCACTGGGGTGTCAGGATTTTGAGTGATTTGGGCACCTCCCAAACCAGGAAACCCCATCTTCAGCCATCATCATTTTAGGAGTGCCAGGAGGTGAGGCCTGCTAAGCACAAGATGCTAGGAAGACAGCTTGCTGGGACCTGGGGCTTGGGGCGTGATTTTCTTGCTTGTTCTGCATTGAAATTGGCTCCTTGACCTGCTAACCCTAACCCCTAACCCCGAAGCCCAGCGAGAAAACACCGCATGGAGCCGAAGGGGCCTAAATCCTGCAATGCCATCTTTGGCCCTAAGCCCCCAATGCTTCTTTCAGGGAAGCCCCTCCGCAAACCCGACACAAGCGCAAGGCTCAGACCCTTGGGCCCCTATTCTATACTCCCCTTAGAACCTCAATAAACATATGAATTTCAATATCCTCTTGGGTTTTTTCTGACCAGAAATAAAAAAGTAATTCACAAGGGGATATAGTATTCACTACCCTAGTATAAACAAGAATAGAAAATAATCCCCCTGGTAGTTGCTACCCCGCAGCGGCTCCTCGGATAGACCCCCAGACCAGCAGAGGTTGTCAGCCCATGGTGTGCGGAAGTGCCACACCTGGTCTTGGGCTAAAGGGGTTTAGGGTTTAGGGTTTAGGGTTTAGGGTTTAGGGTTTAGGGGTTGGGGCTTCTAGTGCGCGCACACACGCTCGTGATCTATTCAAGCTCGCCTCCAGTTGGATTGTTTACATGATATGTTGAATCTGGGGCATACAGGGGATTACAGCATTTCTTGGGGCGAAGCCTCGTGAAGACTTCAGGAACCCAGCTCAGGCCCCAGCTGGCGCCGGTGCAGGCGCGGCCGGGGTCGGCAGACCTGGAGGGTGGCTCGCAGGGGTTGCGGGGGGGGGGGGGGGGGGCTTCCGCATGGAAAACGGGAAGCAGCATGGGCTCAACAGCTAAGCCACGACCGGGCCTAGATCTTGGAACATGCCCAAGACGCGCGACCAGAACACCTGACTCAGGGCGCATCTCTGAACCGCGGCTTAAGGTTCAGGGTTTAGGGTGTAGGGTTTAGGGTTTAGGGTTTAGGGTGTAGGGTTTATGAGCCCCAACTTGCCCAAAACTTCGAAAAGTCAACCTTCAACCCCGCCTGGCTCTGTTGAAAGCAGCGCAAGTTTTGCGTCGCCATGGCGGCAGACACGGCCGAACCATCCAAGGTGGCGACCTGCCAACATGGGCGTACAAGCTGGGCATCTGGGGGTGTACGATAATATGGGACCACATCCCCACATAGTCGGATCCCCTTATAAATGAGGACCGCAGTAAGGTACCCCTAATTTGGGAACCCTCCATATTTGCGAAACCACATGGAGCTTTGCGGACCTGTGCGCGGGGGCTTGTGATTCTTCGACCGTTGCTGATTTCTAGGGTCTCCAGGCGCATAGGGGATCGTGCAAGCCCTCAACCCCATTCAAGAAACACGCCGCGGCGAAGGCCCGCGACCTGTGAAATGCAAACGGCTCTCTGCCTACTGCTCTCTTTTAAGTTTTCGGGGCCCAAGTGCGCGGCCCCGTGTCGGATTTTTTTGCTGAGAACAGCCATGTACAGGCACGCTCGGCTTCTGTCTCTCTGACTGCTTCTCACTCTTGCCGACTGCGCGCCCCCCTGCTTCGGGTTCGCAGCGGCACGAACAGCTAGCCGCGAGCTCAGGGTTGGTCCCCCCCCCCCGACGCAGAGCTCGCCAAAGGACTGTTAGCATAAAGCGGAACATCCCAATGGCAAACCCTAAACCCTCGAGCCCCTTGTCGCAAAACTGCCAACCCCCCCCCCCCAAGAAAAAAATGAAAAAATCAAAGCATAAACAGATTCTTCCTTATAAGGCTAGGGCTTCTCCTTCTGTTTTTTTGGGGGGGGGGGGGGGGGGGGGGGGGGGGGGTGGCCTACTCTAAGCCCTCAAACCCTGAACCCCTCAAAGCCCCTACAGGTCGACCTGCAGCAGGAGGTCGGGCAGGCCCTCGAACCTTCCCACCGCCGGGGCTCGGAGGTACTCCTTGGCTTCGCTGGCTTCTGGACTCTTGGGCTTTTGCGGTTTGGGGTTTACACGGCGCTCTCCGAGTCTGAGCAACTGAGCGCGACTGCACGGGGTTTGGGGTTTGGGGTTTGGGGTTTGGGGTTTGGGGTTTTGGGTTTTGGGTTCAGGGTTTAGAGAGGATTCTGGCATTTCGGGGTCAGGGGTTGTGTTTCTTGAGCGCCACTTCTCCAACCAGCTCTAGAAAACAAGGCTGAAGCAAGGTGCCCGATCCTGCGCCCTAGCCCCTGCCCCAGTTCGCTTGCAATGGAAGGCGCAGACAAGACCCAAAAGCGCGCGAAACGAAGCCAACAGTGCACTGCTTGACCAGGCCGTTGCGGGACGCACTGGCCCTATCCATTCTCATCAAAAAATAGATCATGCTCCCGGCCTCTAACCCCTAAAAATCCCTCGACCTGCAGAAGTCCTGAAGCTGAGCCAAGATAATGCCTTGGCCAAGCTGCCGTGAACTGCAGCCAGTAGTCTCTGGCCTGTGGGGCTTGGGGGACCTCTGTAAAAGATGTTGGATGAAGCAAGGCAGCGGCAGGGGCTCTCAATAGTAACAGAGTGACAACCCAGGGTCGGATTGAGTTCGGGCTTCCAGCCGGATGATGACGGAGTTTAGGGCATTTGAGGTTCAGATTCTTTGGATGCTGAGAACCTCCTAGGTCCTAGGTGACCACATCATGGGACGGGGGGAGCGGGGAGGCGGTCTTGCATGAGCCTCCAAGTACTCCAGCTCGAAGGGCGAGAACCTCACACCATGCGGATTCTTTAGGGCTTAGGGTTTAGGGATTAAGGTTTAGGGAAGCCACAGGCCTCAAATGTACAAAGCCGGGGGTGTCCCGGATCTTCACCAAGAACCGCCAGACTTCGACTTATCAAAGTCTAGGCTCCGAAAGCAACGTGGCTCTCTGTCTCTCTCTCTCTCTCTCGCTCTCTCTCTCTCTCGCAGACTCGGGTCCGTCAGCCCTAAACCCTACATCCTACATCCTACGCCCTCCGCCCTGTTTTTGCATCCGGACTCCTGCGGGTGTGAACCCGGAACCCTTGTGCCCAAAACCCTAAACCCAAAACCCTACACCCTAAACCCTAAACCCTAAAACCCTAAAACCCTAAACCCTAAACCCTAAACCCTAAACCCTTCACTGTGCGGGCCGAAGGAGCGGATGGGGACAGGCGCCTCGGCCCGGAAGCTGCTCTCCGAAGGGCTGCCTTAGGGGAATTGTTCAGGGTTTAGGGTTTAGGGTTTCGGGTTTAGGGTTTAGGGTTTAGGGTTTAGGGTTTAGGGTTAGGATGCTCCTTCTTATACTAACAGTTCCTTAATAGGGATTACAAAATGGGGGGGGGGGGGGGCATAATCCCCTACTAAGGACTGTCAGTATAAGGGGGAACATTCCAAGCCTGAGGGCTTGAACGGGCTCAGGGTTTACGAGCTCAAGATGGTTTAGGTAGGGTTTTAGGGTGCTTACAAGGGTTTAGGGTTTAGGGTTTAGGGTTTGGGGAGTTTTGTTTAAATTTCGGGGTTGGGAGTTTTAGGGCTTTGGGCTATAGGGTTGTACGGTTTTCGTGTTTGGGGGTCAGGGAACCCCATGCCCGAAAACCTTGGGGGGGTGAGCAGGGGTTTACGGTTGAGGGTGTCGGGGGTTGTTCTAAATTGTAGTATAACTTATCACCGATTTCTTTTCCATCTGGGCTGGGTGGGGAGACCCTAAACCCTAAGCCCTTAACATAGGGTCATTTCTGGGGGAGCTGGTAGGGCTTTGGGCCCAGGGTCATGGGATTTGGGGATTGGGACTTTAAGATCTAGGGGTTTACGGAGTGTTCAGGGCCTCTGTACACTGGAATGAGGACTTTTGGGACTTCTTGAAATTCAGATGCTATGATAGGGATTATCAACGGGACGGTTGGTGAATAAGGCTCAGGAAAATGTCTGGGGTTGTTACTACGTCCCATCCTTGTCAGCGTGGTGTTTGCCTTGTTTGAATGTCGGAGTCGCAGGTGCTGGCAGGCATCCGCTCGGTTACACTTCGTGCAACAGCAGCCGCCAAATGCCAAAGTTGGCATGCAACGCAGGGGCGTCCGGAATTCGAATTTGGGCCCTTTTGGGCCCCTTTGGATTCTCTCCAATAGGGCCAACTGCCGTGCGACACACCTCCCTAAACCCTAAACCCTAAACCCTAAACCCTAAACCCTAAACCCTAAACCCTAAACCCTAAACCCTAAACCCCTCAGCACGGCGGCGCAATTGGAACGTTTGACTACGCAGGCTACGCAGACTATGCAGGTCGGGGTCCAACTTGTGGCCTTTTCCAGGTCTCGATGGGCTCTGCCCATCGTACAGTTATCGTCTCAGATGGGTGATTCTCTAAGTTAAGGGCCCCTGTTGGGGTCCTTCTTTTAAGGGCGCCGTACTATTTTAGGGCTTGATGCTGCCGTAGCTTAGTTCAACCCCCCCAGGTCGGGTCACATCAGGGCGTGTGAGACGAGGGAGTCGCAGCGCGCCATTTGCCCGCCCAAGGCCGCCATCCTTAGCACGTCTCTTGGCTGCACTTAGGAGGGTAGCAACAAACAAAACTTTTAGCTACCTTATTAAGAAACCCAATAAACCCAAAAGGATAAAGATGTAAAGTTACAGTAAAGCACCACAAAGGTCTCAGGCCTGCACTTAGACCCGAAGCCTTGCAGCAGAATGAGCTCCCCAGGTCACTAACACCTCCACCACCCCGAGATAGGGGAGAGGGGGGAAGGAAGCTCGCAAAATACCCTAAACCCTAAACCCTAAACCCTAAACCCTAAACCCTAAACCCTAAACCCTAAACCCTAAACCCTAAACCCTAGACCCTAAACCCTAAACCCTAAACCCTAAGAACCCTAAACTTGGGGTTACAGCTTTGCAGGGCCCAAAAAACCCCCCAAAAGGTCCGAGAAACCTCCTTCTGCTCATTCCAAGGGGCCCTGCAAGCCCCTCTTTTTGCAACCCTACATACCCTAAACCCTAAACCCTAAACCCTAAACCCTAGCCCCTTAAAAAGAAACCCTGAAGCTTCGAACCTCTCACAGCAAAGAAGTGCCAGGACACCTATACTCCCCTTAGAACCTTGATAAAAATAATGGTTTTGTTAATATCCTCTTGGGTTTTATATAAACAAAAACAAGAAATTCCCAAGGGGTAGGTTCCTTGAACCCTAAACCCTAAGCCCTAAACCCTAGAAGTGCCAGGACACAGGTAGTCCGGCGAGCACATCTCCCGCGCGAGGTCGGCAGCCGTCCGGCAACGGGAGTTCTTGAGATCGAGCCGGGCCCCTCGGACCTTGGCGGGGGTGTTCCGGCTTAGGGTTTAGGGTTTAGGTTTTTTTTTTCGCTCCCGCATAGCTGGCCGAACCGCAGGTAGGGTTAGTCGTTGGTCTGCTCAGAGGAAAAAAGGGCGGCCCCGCCGGAGGACCTACAACAACATTCTCTTCCCCCTGCACTTTAGCAGTTATAGGGTTTAGGGTTTAGGGTTTTGTGTTTAGGGTTCGGGGGTGTAGGGATTCAGGTTTGTTGTTTGTCCGGGTTTAAGGGCTTCAGGTATGCTTTGGGTTGGCCATGTGCACGATGTGCCCCAAAGCCCCCAACCCTCAACCCAGGATTCTGGGTTTAGGGTTTAGGGTTTAGGGTTAGGGTTTAGGGTTTTTGAGTGCAACGGGCCGATCTCCGGGCACACCAAGCCCTCTTGCTCTGTGTTTCGCCACGAAGTCATAGATTAAACATGGTTTTATAGGGATTAGAATACCCCAAAAAGGTTAAAGGTTTAAACCCTAAACCCTAAACCCTAAACCCCAAACCCTAAACCCTAAACCCTTGTAAGCACCCATGAGTTACCTACTCTACTACTAAGCTGATGATGAAAAGCAAGGGGCCATCAGCGCCGCAGCTGCTTCGTAGTTGCCTCGCTTCCAACATGCATCACTTGTAGGCTTCACCACCCTACCCAAGAAGCCTTAAGACTTCCACCCGCCCCTAACCCCCTACCCCAAACATAAACGGGGGTCTGCAAAGACAGCTAGAGCTGGACCAGCTGAGGCCGTAGTTTGCCCTCTAGCAACGAATCCTGCTAGGGCCCCAACTCCTGAACCCTGCTCTCGAGCCCATGTCAAAGTCCCCAGGACAAGACAGATCCCGAAATCGGAGCCCAGATTCCGCAGATGATGGCAATCATCAGCGGCGTGGCCCCGTAGTGATGGTAGCCTAACATAGGGGTCGGAATATGATCATTAACAGTATTCCCTTGTGGTCCCTTTATTCTTATTACTCGAATAACCCTGAACTCCCTGAACCCTAAACCTTAAACCTCAAACCCTAAACCCCAAACCCTAAATCCAAAACCCTATTCTACTGATTAAGGCCCCTAGCCTACACTGCGCAGCTGCGTGGACCGGCGACCAGCTCGATGCTGAAAGCCCTTGAGCATCCAGAACCTGAACAGGCCACCGGCTTCACGGACAGGCCCATGGGCTTCAGGCTTAGAGGGTTTAGGGGTGAGGGGTTTAGGGCTTAGGGTTTGAGGTTTAGGGTGGTTTAGGGTTCAGGGTGCGGGGATTAGGGCCATTATAGGGTTTAGGACGAGCTTCATATCAAGCGAGACCCATAACCCAATTAGAAATGCTTAGGTGCCATATAGACTTCGAGCCGCAGGCCCAGGGGACTCGTCCTGTTGGGCAGGTACTGCTCGTTCACGTCCGCGCGCGCTTGGATGAGCAAGTCCAGGGCTTTGGCGGAGCTGCGCTGCCCCATCGCCAGCCAATGCAGCGACAGGGACACGTCCAGGCTGTCGGCGTGCTCGAGCAGCGCCTGCATTGCATGCAGCGAGCCGGTGATGCAAGCCTGGCGAAGGGCCGAGACACCAAATGGGTTCTTCTCGTTCGGGTCGCCTCCGGAGGCGCACAAGCAGTGCACCGCTTCTGCGTCGTCCACATAGCACGCGCAGCTCAGGGCAGTCTGAAGAATCCCGCTGACACTGATCTTCGAGCCAGCTGCAAGTAGGAGATTCATGGCTTCGTGGTTCTTGAACTTTGTGCATATTCCCAGAACCGGCGTACCCTTGTCGATGCCCAGCTGGGGTTGTCCCTTGGTGATCTTATCATTGGGGTCCCCTCTGCACTGGAGCAGCGCCTGGATCACCTCAGGGTCGCCTCGCATGGCTGCGTAGCACAGGCAAGACCAACCCGCTGCATCGCGTTCCATGGGATGCCGGAAACCGTTCCTCGAGACTCTCTTGTTCTAGGATTGTTTTTTTTTTTTTTTTTGGGGGGGGGGGGGGAAGGGAGGTCGCTGCTAAGACTTTAGGGAGATTCTTACAGGGCCCCCTCAAGAATGCAGCACCAACAAGCTGACAGCTCACTCCGTTTGCCTACGAGGCTCTCATGCAGGAACTTGGCGAGCGCCCTCGGCCACGGAGCCACCGCGTCTGCCTCGAAGCCCGGCACCAGGTCGTCGTTGCACTCGGCGGGAAGGCCGCGCAGCCGGGCGCCTTGCTGGTTCAAGAGCAGGCGGTAACCTTACTTCTCCAATAAGCAAGGGGGAAAGAAGGTTAAACTTCAATGTTCCTACGAAAAAGGAAGCCCAGAAAGTTTACAGTTCAACTAAAGGCGAAGTAAGTAGCTGGTGAAGTCGCCCTGCTCCAGGTAGGCTACCAGCTTCACCTTCAAGACGTGCCGAAGAACGGGAGCAACTGCTGCACGGTCGCGTTCCAATGTGAAGTCCCCCTCTCCGGGTGGATCTAGCATCAGTGGCGCAGTAATCTCCTGGTGCTTCGCACTCTTGACGAGAATCCAGGACCCACCATGAATCGACAACTCACGTACTGCTTTCTCCACCCGACACCTATGCTGAACTTGGCACCCTAGCAAAAATTAGAACCTTAGCTGTTCCTTAGGAATCATCGTAACCAAAGGTTAAAACGTATTTCCAAGTACCCCTAAGACACCACCCACGTCCACTCCAAGAAACCTGGCTAAACACCTGGGATCCATCTGGGCTGTCAATGACTGGGCACAGGGCCATGAAAAATTGACACCTCGAGATGTACGCAGGAATGCTGCTGATGGCTTTCTGCTGGACGTTTTGAGGCTGTCCACTCTCATCCGTCACAAGCGGAACTTGCGGACAAGAGAAGAAGTCATACCAGAGGAAGAGCTCGCTGACCTGAAATTCCGATGTTGAAATGCCTCTGGCAAGGCCGAAGACTGCCTCTGTGATGGTGTCCATCGAGATCTGGCTTATCCCATGGGCGATATTTCGCAGAGCCTCTTGCAGAACACGGAACTGCTTAAACTCTGGGTCCGGGTGGGATCTGCTGACCCACTGGTGCGAGACGAAGAGGGCCTTTCCCATCCCATCCTCGAACAACGACAGCTTGCCCGAGACCAAGAGCTCCTCATGCGGCTTCAGGGTGCTCATCTCGAGTGCAGCCTCTGCTGACACCGTGTACATGGGGAACAACATCGAGAAGTCCTCTGCAACCTTCCGCTTCTCCCGTCGCACAGATTCTGCATGGCACTGCAGCGGGGTTTCGGGTCTACCCACGCACTGGCCACACGACATGGCGGGCACTACGACATTGGCCGGTGGCATCGGCAACCACGGGCTCCTGATGCTTGAAATGGCCTCGTGCAGCTGGAACTGAGCTCTCATTTAGGGTTTAGGGGGTTATCTGGCGTTTAGGGTTTAGGGTCCACGCACCTTAAACAAGCCCATCACGCTGCCTCAAGCCACCACGAAGCCGGTCAGCCTCCCGCCTCCCCGAATGACCACAGCCTCCAAGGCCCTGGCTTGTCGTGTGCCGAGTTCCTGGCTGCGGGCTCTCCATGAGGAATGATCGAGTTCTTTCAGAAGCCCTAGAACAGCCCCTTTTTGTTAGCGGGGGGCGGGGGAGTGTTGAAGCACGGGAGCTTTAAGTACATTGCGGAGCTGCGGCTCTCTGAGTGTTCCTTTCGCAACATGAGTTCCTGGGTTCCTGGTGCAGAGTTGAAGTCTTCAGAGCGTGGGGGTTCGGATTTTCGCAGGCTAGTTCAACGGCCTGCAGGGCTCACAGGGCTTATGGGTTTTGGGTTTAAGCCTGGACTGGACTGACCCCCCACACAAAAACCCTTGAGTCCAGGCAAGCGGCATCTTGAACCGGGAGAAGTAGGTGGTGGCGACCCGGTGCAGGCCGGGAAGGTCTGGGAGAAAGAGGGGCAGGTTCATGGCGTAGAGGTCCTGTGGCCATGGCAGAGGGCTTGCAACCTTTGGAAGTCGGGCTTTTCAGGAGGGACGGGTGCCGCACGGGAAACCCGAAGGCGCCAGCGAGGCAGGCATTGCATTTCAAGCGCAAATTGCAGACCCTGTACACAGAACCCTGAACCCTACATGAACCCTGAATGAGGCTTTCGAGGGAGCAAGAACTTTCAAGAACAAACAGCACACAAGCCAGCTGGTGAGCTGATGTTACACAGCACCACAAAAAACACCTAGACCTAGACGTGAGCTCAGGGCTCGATCAGAATCCAGGTTCCAGGTTGGGATCCGATGCGATGTGCGGGATCCCACGGGTGTGCGCATGGGGCCTGTGATGCGGAATGTGCTTCGGCCTGCCCAAGTCTGTTTCGAGTTCTCCTGAGGCCCCCCAAAAAAAAAAGACCCCACAAACCCCCCACACAGGAGTCATCTGGGGGGGGTTACGCACACAGGGGGACCCCTAATGTAGACCCCCAAAATAGTAGGATGCCCTGATAGAAAGGACGCCCAAAAAGGTACCCCGAATATCGCAAACCCTAAACCCTAAACCCTAAACCCTAAACCCTAAACCCCCATCTCTATCTCGGAAGCACCGGGAGATGCAGTGTAAGTCCCGGGCGTGAAACATGACCTCGGCCAGGGCCGGGTTTGGGGTTTAGGGTTTAGGGCTTAGGGTTAAGGGGACTAGCCACAGCACAGCAGGGTTCGAAGGTAGGTCTGGGAAAATTTTGAGATCCCCAAGGTCAGGCTTAGGCTCTTCTTTTTTTTGTAGCTGACCTGCAGCTCTTCTTCACAAAGAACAAGGGGCGCTCACGCTCACGCCAGTTCTTCTGAGTCTTCGCTTAAGCGATTGCGCTGACTTCCTCCAAATCGCTGGGTGCTGGCCGTGTCTTTAGATGCTGGAAGCCACGCAGATGTAGCCATACCTGTCCGCTCGGGCCTCTGCCCTCGCCATCTTTCAAGGCCATCGTAGTTTGGGTTGCCTGCATGTACTTGGATGATTGGATGAGTCCTTCAACGTCCTGATCCACAACGTGCCCAATCTGGTTGCGTTCAGGTCACCCTGCCTTGCAAAACGTAGCGGCGAAGACTGGAACAGTTGGCCAGTCCGTCGCACGAGCTGCTGCAGTGTGGGGTGCTGGCTCGTAGGCCAGAGCCTTGGCGCTCCTTGTACTGTGCACCTGAAGTAGCTCTTGCCATTGCGCGTCCACGACCAACACGAGCTCATGCAATTCCGGGCTCCGGAGCCAGGATCATCGGAAGCCACGGAACGCCGAGCTGATGGCAGGGAGCGAGGACGGGCGGTGGGGCGAATGGAATGCCTCGTGGGCATGGAAAACTGTGCTGGTGCCGCCTCCGGCACTATTGCGAATCCTAAACCCTAAACCCTAAAGGGTTTGGGGCTTTGGGGGTGGGGTCTTTTCTGGTGGTCCTCTGCTTCCTTCCTGGGCTGGCCTCCGCCATCTTTGCAAAAGATTCCTCTACGTGATGACCCTAAACCCTAAACCCTAAACCCTAAACCCTAAACCCTAAACCCTAAACCCTAAACCCTAAACCCTAAACCCTAAACCCTAAACCCTACAGGCCCGAAACCCAAGTTGAGGGCCTCGGTCCCCCCCCCCCCCCCCCCGCCCCACTTTTTCCGCAGCTGGGCGGCCAAGTTCAGGTCCCAGGGCATCATGACGGCGGCCCGGAAGGTGGCCATGTCGGCGTAGGGCATCTTGCTCCTGGGCTCTAGGGTTTCGGGTTTAGGGTTTAGGGTTTAGAGTTTAGGGGTTTAGGGGTTTAGGGTTTAGGGTTTAGGGTTAAAAATGCTCGCAGCCCGAAACCCTTTGTTTTTTCCATCTGGGCTGGGTGCGGAGTGCCAGAAAAAGCAGCTGCTTGCACAACCTGCTCAGCTCTGCTGGCTGACACGCCGCACACGCGCTACATACTCGACTGGGACGCTCTCAAACATGACAACCACGAGACTGCGAAGATATGATAGCGGCCTTGGTGCCCTAATAACCCTAAACCCTAAACCCTAAACCCTTTTTTTGAACCAGGAGCTGGGACATATGCCTGGAAGTGAGACTCAAGCGCCTACACATGCTTACATCAACAAACCCTAAACCCTAAACCTTAAACCCTAAACCCTGTAAACCCTAAACCCTGCAAACCCTAAACCCTGCAGCGCAAGGGCACTTTCGATTTCAAGGGGACACTGTAGGTTACAATACTTGGGGGCCCCTGACACCTTCTGCGGGGTGTGGAGGGTTGTTGGGCTTGGGGCGTCAGGTTTTCCAGGCTTTTGGGGCCCGGCCACGCGCTTCAGAGTTCCCAGGGGGGCCCGAGGGTTTAAGGGTTTGAGGGTTTAGAGGGTTTAAAGGGTTTTAAGGGTTTGAGGGTTTCAGGGTTTGAGGGTTTAAGGGTTTAAGGGTTGAAGGGTTTAAGGGTTTGAGGGTTTCAGGGTTTGAGGGTTTAAGGGTTTCAGGGTTTGAGGGTTTAAAGGTTTAAGGGTTTGAGGGTTTCAGGGTTTGAGGGTTTGAGGGTTTGAGGGTTTAAGTGTTTGGGGATGTATCTTAATTTTTGTTTAGGGATCTTGCCTCTGGTTTGAGTCGTATATATATATATACATATATATATATATCCCTTCTTCCCCTAAACCCTAAACCCTAAACCCTAAACCCTAAACCCTACACCCTAAACCCTAAACCCTTAAGGGGGACAGAGGGCTAATCCGACACCCTTAGACCTAAACTACCCTGGACCCTGAACCCTATCTACCGTTTAGGGTTTAGGGTTTAGGGTCAAGGGTTTAGGGTTTAGGGTCAAGAACCCCACCAAAAACACAAAAAGAAAATAATCAAGTAATAAATAATCCCTCAATGAGAAGAGTTTTTGTATCTGCTTGGCGTTCTTGAGCCATTCGTAGTGACAAGCCCCAAACAGGATAAACAGGATGGCCGAAAGCTTGGGCGGAAGCTCTACCCTAAACCCTAAACCCTAAAACCCGAAAGAAAAGAAGAAAGGAAAACAAAAAAAGAGCCTTTGCGACCCAAGCATCTTCTGATCCACGAACCGGTGCCTTGGAGGGAGGTTGGGTTTAGAGAGGGTCTTAGGTTGAGATGATCCCCCTTCTACTAAGAGTCCTTTCTAGGGAGTACACTAGGGGGGTTACTATCATCCCTCTGAAGGACTCCTAAGGATAAGGGGGGACATCCCTTCAGCCTTAGGGTTTTACATGCCGCCGTTCCCTTCCTCATGCTCAGGGGATGCAGGTTCAACCCTTAAGCTGGTTGCGCTCTGAATCCCAGGAAGCCCATGAATCGCACAGCGCGGAAACCTTAGAAAGCCCTGATTCGCCCTTCAGTGGAGGAGCCCTCCAGGAGACACCAAGACGACCAGAGCTGATGAGCTCTCACTTTCGCAAGCTTCTGATAAAGTTCCCTCCGACATTACGGAATCTCAATTTCATGTCTTACCCCAGTAGCTCATCGAACTCTTCCCGCCTTTCTCGCGCTTGCGCGGGATGAGTTGAGTCTTACTTGCGCCTCGGGGCAGGCTGGCTCCGATGCACTTTCAAAGCCCGGCTTTGGGGGATCCCTTTGGCATGTCGCGATCAATTCGACCAGAAGTCACAAAGCCCGCGAATCAAAGCCACGCGTGGGCAGCTCTCGGGCAGCTCGTCGCAGCACTGCAGGCAGAATGCTATGTTTTTTACCTGTCCATGATCAATGTTGCGCGACCTCCTCCTCTGCAGGTACCATCCCCAAGCCTCGGCCATCCCTTGCTCCGAGAGGTGGGGGCATCCCAAGATGCGGCAGGTTCAGCGCATGGCGGTTCACCATCTCCATCACCTCCTCACTAAGCTCTCCGCGCAGCCACGGGTGCTCCAGGGCCGCCTTGGCGGAGATCCTGCCTTCCGGCAGGAGCTGGAGCATGGGCAAGAGGAAAGATGCCAAGTTCTGGGCCTCGACCTCGTGCATGTGGTACTTCTGAGAGAGGACCTATACTGAACTTGGGGAACCCTAGCAAAAGTTATGTGATTTTTGCTGTTTCTTAGGAATTATAGTGCCCAAGAATTAACAAAATATTTCCAAGTACCCCTAAGGTACCTCGCCCAAGGGCCAGTAGCGCAGGGACTTGATGTGCCGGAGCTCGCCCCGCCGGTTGAAGTAAGTCTTCGAGCGCCGGCCCCGGCTAATCAGCTCCTTGGGCATCAGCCCCATCAGCTCGATGAAGAGGGTCAGGTGGTCCTCATCGCGTGGGTACTCGTCGGAAGCCTTGGGGTCAAAGAGGTAGTCGCCGGTGGCGAGCTCGAAAACCATGCAAGCCAAGGACCAAATGTCTGCGGAGGTGTCGTAGCCTGCATTGATGATGGTCTCGGGTGAACGGTATTGCCGAGTTTGGATGTCATCCGAAAAGTGCTTCTCCACCCAGCACGCATTTCCCAAATCGGCCACTTTGTACGTGACGCCGACGTGATCAAAAAGATCCAGAGCCAAAACTTCTTTAAGCAACTTCTTATTTCTGCAGCCGGGCTTCCACGAAGACTGGCCCGCTGTAGCGGCAGGTGCCGCGTGCGCAGCGGCCGCCTGCGAAGGTGGAGGCGTCGTCATTGGTGAGACTGGCATTTGAGGAACTCCCGGTGGCCTCATGTGGTTATACAGAGGCCGGTTCATGGCAACCATGTCATCTCCGTAGGAGGAAAGCAGCGTGGGATCTGACCGTGAAGGCTTCAGGAAGGGCTTCATGTACGGTGGCTCGTTGAGGCTGGAAGGGTTCGGTGCTGCCTGTATGGCCTCAGGCACTAGGACAGGCGGCGGCCGTAAGATCGCTTCGGCCTCATCGTCACAGTGACCTTCATCATCCTCATCCTCATCATCCTTGAAATCATAATCCTTCTTCTTGCCCACCAGGGGGATGCCCAGCTTGTTCACAGGCACCCCACGAGGGCACCCAACGAGCACATTCTCTGGCTTCAAATCCGTGTGGATGATGCCACACACTCTGTGCAAGTAGTCGAGGCCAATGAGCGTGTGAGCCGTGACCTTGCGCACGATGTCCAAGGGGATGCCCTTGAAGTTGTACCTCTTGATGAGGGCCAGCACATTGGGCCCCATGGTCTCAAACACCATGCAGACATGCTTGCCGTTGACGCCGAAGTGCTCGAAGTAGTCGATGAGCTGCACCACGCCCGTAAAGGGAAGCTCGGGGAACAGGGCACGGCAGGGGCCTTGCTGTGTCTCCTCCCAGGCTTCATCTTTTGATCGCTTGGCGGCCTCGGCCAAGAGCTCAATCTCATCGTAGGCCGCCTCCGTGTAGTGGGGCGCACTCTTCTGCACCTTCATGGCCACGTAGCGCTGCTGGGTGAGGTCCTGGCAGAGCCACACAGTGGAGAAGTGTCCCCACCCAAGTTTCGCGAGGACGAAGTACCGACCATTGTACGTCTCTCCGACATGCACCGGGTGGTATCCGCCCTTACGATACCCATCAGCACCTTCATCGTCGCTCTCGGTGTACTCCTCGGCATCTGCCGTGTGAGCCTCGCTTGTCATCAGACCTGCCAGGCTCTAGAGTACAGTCACTCCGGCCGCTAACCTCTGTGCTACTGAGGTTCCCCTCAGCACCCCTTGAGCCGGCGACCTGCGACGGCTCCCAACTCCTTTCGTATAACAAGGGCGCCTTGTTTGGTGATGCTGGCTTTTCTGGGGGCGGGGAGGCAAAATACCCCCCAACCCTACATTAAACCCAAAACCCTAAACCCTAAGCCCTAAACCCTAAACCCTAAACCCTAAACCCTAAGCTGGGCTACCCAGCTCTTGGCTTGAAGGGGCTTAGGGCACTGTTTAGCCTCATTCACACACTAACACGGGACTCTCCAGGCGTGTGATACCCGAAATTTGAAGCCGACTATGCTCCCCCGCCGTTGTCCCGAGCCGAAACATTGACATATTCACGAACTTTATCTGTATCGTGCCTCGTCATGCTAGCTAGCACCCAACAGCAACACCAACCATGAGGACATTCGCCATTCGCGCTCTTGAGCACGATTGCTTGCAGCCAGCCGAAGTTTGAGAACACTCGCATGGCGCAAGAGACTCGAGTGACCACAAGCAGACACAAACACAGATAAGCTCAATCCGAAAGGTTCACAAAGGCTGACAACACAGCGGGGGTCAGGCAACGGGGGTCCACGGGGAGTCTCAGATACAAGGCATCTAGGATGACCCTTAAAACCCTCGGAAACATATTCCTGAATATGATCCTCCTAAACCCAACAAGGGAAAATGAACAATGTCCCAAGGGCATACCTAGCAATCAAGGTCCTTAACAATCAGAATAGGGTGGGGGGGGGGGGTTATCATAGTATCGTCATATAGGGACCAAAAGGGAACACTGTTGGACCACGCGGCGGATAAGACGCATGCCTCATTGCCATCAGCGCCATGGTGAAGTGAACGTCCCGAAGGAGCCGGCCACGATTGATCACAAGCACATCCTGCTCTCTTGGGTTTAGGGTTTAGGGTTTAGGGTTTAAGGTTTAGGGTTTAGGGTTTAGGGTTTAGGGTTCCGGCATGCCGATATGGGGGTTTCCGACATTCGGGGTACCCTTCTTGGGCGTCCCTTTGAGGGGATTCTACTCGATCTGGGGCACAAAAGGGGTACCCTATTTTGGGGAAATACCCATATGCATTACGAGCCCAAGTCGAGCAGAGCTCTGGTGCTTATGCAGTCATCCCCCCCCCCTTGGAAAAAGCGGCAGACGTGGTCTGATCTGGCTCAGATACTCTAAAAGTGGGGGATGTCGGGGGAAGTTTTCGGGAGGGAGCGAAGTCGGCGTGACGGCTCCAACCTCAAACCCTTTCAGCCCTCTAAGCCCACCCCCCCTAAGGGGGCTTCCCCTTAACTTCCCCTTAAGGGGCTTCCCCTTAAGTGGGCTTCCCCTTAAGGGGGCTTCCCCTTGAGGCCTTGAGGGGGCTTCCCCTGACAGGCTAAGATTAAAGGGCTCCAGGAGCACTGGAAGTGCCCATTTTTGAAGTCTGATAGCGCCGATGTACTGCGAGGCTTCCCGCATAAGAGACGCCTGCAAGTTACCGAAAACCACCCACATGTGAACAGCCATGCCAACCCCTCGCCTGGGATGCCAGGGCGGGCTCGTGTGCAGCAGCAACATACCTGAAAGTTGGGGCTTCGGACTCGGAGGCTCTTAGGGTTGGACCCGGAATGTTCAAGGATTAGCCGTGTGTTGTCGATTCCGGAAACACGGCTAGGGTTCAGGGTTTAGGGCTCATTCCGCTGGGCTCGAAGCAAGAAAATAAAAGCTGTGTCCAATGATGGCTCAGGCACAACGACAGGGGTCGCACGCTCGGATTTCGGAATCCTGCACAGAGTCGACCCAGAAATACCCACGCTTTCAACAGCAAGCGTAAAATCCTCCCTCTACAAGTACAGGGCCCATACTTCAGAACCCTTTAAAGGAGGCACGGGACCATATTATTGGGCCCATGAAACTACCCTTAGACCTCAGTTCCTCCCAAAACTGTAGGCTTTAGGATTTCGACTCGCGCACTCGCGCAAGGCTTGGCAAGGCTTCGCTTCGTTGGTTTAGGGCTTAGGGCTTCGGGTTCGGGGCTTAGGGTTTAGGATTGGCCTTGAGAGTTTTGAGGAATAGGGCTGTAGGGGTCAGGGCCTCGAGGTAGGGCGTTCGGGATTCATGGCTCCATCTTGCCAGCCTGAACACTAAACCCTGAGCCATCTTTGAACCCAGACTGGACTGAATCCTAAACCCGAGACCTCTTTTTAACCCTAAACCCGCGGAACCCGAGGTCCCTTTTGCCCCAATGGGCTCGCTCAACCCTAACCCTAAACCCTAAACCCTAAACCCTGAACCCTAAACCCGAAAAAACCCCTAAACCCAACAAAGGCCCCAAAGTGGGGCCTGGACTCCCTAGACCCTCAACTTTCTCCGGGCTTCTGGCGCGCCTGTCTGCCAGAACGCCGCTTCGGCAAGCTGCGGCTCCTCATAGACCACGGCGCCTGGGAGTTATTCGAGGGTTTAGGGTTTAGGGTTTAAGTTTTTTTAGGGTTTAGGGTTTAGGGTTCAGGGCGCAAAAGCCTTCTGAGCAATGTTCCCTGAATATGAACCTCTCAAACCCAATAAGGGAGAAGATGAAATGTCCCAAGGGCCCTACCTGGGCCGGAGTGGTGGTGGACAAAGGCAGGGGAGCGGAAGGGGTTTAGGGTGTGGGGTTTAGGGTTTAGGGTTTAGGGCTTAGGGCTTTAGGGTAAGGGTACCAAGCTGAAGGGGTTCTTAAGGGAGGGGATTCAAGGGGGTTCGGTACCTGGGGAGCCTTAGGGTCTCAGGGAACCTTGGGTTACACCCCCCTTTGAAGCCCTTAAGAACCCTGTACCAAGCTGAGGGCTTGGAAAACTTGCAGCTTTCGAGGTCTCCGGCATTGAGTGATTTTGCCGCTTGGGGGGGGGGGGGGGGCGCTTAGCTGACCTGGGTTTAGGGTTTAGGGTTTAGGGCTTAGGGTTTAGGGCTTAGGGTTTAGGGCTTGGGCTTTGGGGTGGGCGGAAGGCTCATGGAGACAGAAGGGGCGGCCCAGACTGCAACGCCGGGTGGCAGGGTGGGCCGCCATCTTTGGGCGGCTGGCCCTGCAGTGAGTGGACGTCGCAGTGCTGGAGGAAGGTGAACCTGCAACAAACATTTGGGGGTTTCCGAAAGTAGGGGTACCCTTTGGTTCTTTGGGGGGTCCCTTTAAGGGGATTCTAGTCTATTTTCGGTACAAAAGGGGTGCCCCTATTTTGAGAAATACCCATTGAACAACGGAAGAAAGAATGAAAGAAACTAAAGTCATTCTGAGAGACCAAACACCCCAACAAATCCCCGAGAGCGGAGTTTAAGGGGCTGCTGGGGAACGGCCCTGGCAGTTGCCTATGTGTGCGACTACCGCATTCTGCCACTCTGCTACTGTTTGCTTAAGAACCCCCAAAATAATTATCCCTATATTACCCTTGTAAGGAAGAACATGTTCATTTTTCTTGGGGGGGGGGGGGGGGGGGTTCTTAAGCAACAATCCTAGTATGATATCTAGAACATCCTCGCATCCCTAGGACCTCAGGAGGTTCCAAGATTCTGGGGGGGGGGGCTGCCGCGCTGCCTTGAGAGCTCACAGAATTAGGTGGACAAGGTTTAGGGTTTAGGGTTTAGGGTTCCTTCCACACATTCTACCACCATAAATTGGAGCAGTCTCGCCCGGTCGATTGCGACACATGAACTGGCGCGAGCCGTCAAAGCCCGTCTCCTGCAAACGCCAGGCGCCTCTCCCAGTAATGCTCCAGGGGCTCACTCCAGAAGTGATACCTGACGTCCCCAGATAGCCCAACAATACCCCCTAACTACGGATTAGACCTTAAATCATATTAAGGATCCCTAAATGATCTCAGGCATGTTCCCCTCCCCGTAATATTAAACCCCCCGCACACCCTAATAACAAAACCCCCCAATATACGCTAATGGTGGTTTTAATATTAGTTGGGTTTGCCCTCGTGGCAGGGATCGACGTACGGATCACTCACTCTCTCGCGTGGCGCCCGAATCCAAGGACAGGACCGCGGTACGGAGAGTAGGGAGAGTCATCGCAAGTAGTGAAAGGACCCCTAAACCCTAAACCCTAAACCAAGGACTCATGCGGCTTGGGGCGGCAGAATCAGCAAACCCAAAGCGGCTTCGTTCGGCAAAGATGCCGGCCGACGACGGGGTCGTTCAGAAGGAGGAAGCCGAGATAGGCGATCACCTCCAATTCAGGGTTCAGGGCAAAAAATATGTTCTCGAAATGGAGACGATGAAGAGCACAACGCCCCTCCCGACACCTTCTCCCCTCCACTCCTCGCCCTTGTGAGGGCGGCTAAGTTGAGGAAAACCCCTAGAACGGACTGAGTTCCCATAGCAGCCCCTCGTAGACCTTCAACCCTAAACCCTAATTAAGCCCTAAACCTTCAACCCTCAGCCCTAAACCTTCCCTAAACACCAAAGGCCCTAAAGGCCCTAAAGGCCCTAAACCCTATAAACCCTAAACCCTAAACCCCAAACCCTAAACCCTAAACCCTAAACCCTAAACCCTAAACCCTAAACCCCTCACCCTCACGTGCCCTTCCTGGGCCGGTGGGCCGGTTAGGCTGAGGCCGCCGCGGGCTTTGAGTAGTGCACCCGCAGCTTGCCGGCCTCGCCGATCCACCTTGGGTGGTTCTTAAAGGTTTAGGGTTTAGGGTTTAGGGTTTAGGGTTTAGGGTTTAGGGTTTAGGGTTTGGGGTTTGGGGTTAAGGGTTTAAGGCTTAGGGCTTTGGGCTTAGGGTTTGGGGCTCAGGGTTGGTGACTCTGAAAACCGGAAACGCCTCAACCCTAAACTCTTACTAGCAAAGGGCACGCACACCTACTCCCTCCCTCACTTACTCACTCAGCGGTTTTCGGGGTTCAGGGTTTAGGGGGTTTGGGTTTTCCTTTCGCTTGGTACACTTGTCGACTTGTCGACTGTTGGGCGTGTAGGGTTTGGGATTTAAGCGGTGTGGTGCCGGGACGAGACTTTCACCCAAACCCTTTGAAGCCTGCACGCCCCGAAGCCCAACCAAATCTCCCAAGCATCCTGAACGAAGGGTTTAGGGTTAAGGGTTTAGGGTTTTCTCTGCCAACCCAGAAGAAAGCACCCTGACGACCCTTTAAAGGTACCCCGAAATCCCTGAACCCGAGCTTTGATCCCTGGATTGGAGCCCTCCCCAAATTCCCTGCGCAGCTGAGAGGCTGCGCCACCAAGACATCCGCCGCGCGGAAGAGGGGATTGTTACCTGACGTCTTAGGACACCCGACTCGACGAAAAAGGTATCAAGGCTAGATTTAGGAGTAAACCCTAAACCCTAAACCCTAAACCCTAAACCCCAAACCCTAACCTGGGAACCAAAAGGGTACCCTTTCTGGCTAACAGGGCTCAAAAGGGGAACCCAAGGGCCTAGCCTGGGTCCTAGCAGGTACACTTTCGAAGGCTTGCCCCACTTCGCTTCGCTGAGGTTTAGGGTTTAGGGTTTAGGGTTTAGGGTTTAGGGTTTAGGGTTTAGGGTTTCGGGTTTCTGCCAAGCAGCTGAAGTACTCCTGGTTACTCGACCTCAAGCTTGGGGCAAGTCCAAGATCAGGGCTTGTTTAAGGCCCAGGGGGAGGAAGGCGCCTTCATCGTGAGGTTCCTAAACCCTTTTGCAGCTGGCCCTAAATCCTAAACTCTAAACCCTAACCCCTAAACCTCGCTCACAGTTCGATGAGAAGGCTTTCGGGATTCGAAGGCACCCCTGTCAGCTTCAGTTTCCGGGCGGTGTGAAAGTACCATGCTTCGGGCACCCGCAAGGGCACCACATCTTCGAGAAGACCCACATGTACGCTACACTGCAGTTCATTGTTTCCTGAACCCCAAACCCTAAACCCCCCAAACCCTAACCCCCAACCCCCAAACCCCGAACCCTAAACCCGTTTGCTGCCGGGCTGTTCAGGAGCCGGGGGGTTGCAAGGAGATCGATCCCAAAACCCTAGCCCCTACACCCCAAAACCCTAAACCCGAAACCCTAAAAAAGAACCCTAAACCCTAAACCCTCAAACCCCAAGCCCCAAACCCCCATACCCTAACCCCCAAAACCCTAACAGCCACATCCCGAGACGAAAAAAGAGCCTGAGGTCCGGGGCACCCTAAACCCTGAACCCTAACCCCCAAAACCCCAAAAGAGCTGAGGTCCGGGGCATGTCCAGCTGCTCAAAGGAGCTGGGCCCCATCAAGGAGCTGCATGTCAGCCCCTGCCTGGCAGGGTGTAGGGTTTAGGGTTTAGGGTTTGGGGTTTGGGGTTTGGGGTTTAGGGTGTAAGGTTTAGGGTGTCAAATCTGCACTGAACCCTAGAAGCTATTTCTCCGGGCCTTTTGCGCTACCCTAAACCCTAAACTACACCCTGAACCTACACCCTAAACCCTAAACCCAGACCCCTTAAACCTACAACTCAGCTCAGGACTTGGCACTTGTGCGCTGTCCAGGCATTTTGAGACTCGTTCAACCGGTGATTTGCACTCTGGGGGGGGGGGGGGGGGGGGGGGGGGGGGCGGGGGGTTCGGGTTTTAGGTTTTTTTTATTGCCACCCGCCAAGCTGACACCCAGGCCACATTGCGGGAACTCATTCCCATGACTGTAGACTACGAAACGCGTGCAAGAGCCAAGTGGCTCTTCTGGGTTTAGGCTTTAGGGGTGGGGGAGAACACGGAGCTACAAAGAGGCATCGGTTCACCCTAAACCCTAAACCCTAAACCCTAAACCCTAAACCCTAAACCCTAAACCCTAAACCCTTCTTTCGGGGCAGCTACGGGCTTTCGGCTTTGATTTAAGGATTTGTCCCACACTTCCCGCACTCTCCCCCCTGGCCTCAGAAGGCCTCAGAAGGCCCTGTACTCCACACATGCAAGCTTAAAAAAGGCGGCCCCTTTTGAACTCCAAAACGCCCACAAAAAGAAGTAAACTACACCAGTCGCCGCAGCCCCAAACCCCCAAACCCAAAGCTTAAACCCTTAACCCCTTTAAAAAAACCTAAAACCTACCCCCTGAAACCCCCATAGGAACTCGGCCTGTACGAGGCCAGGTGCGTGGTGACCAAATCCTGTGCCAAGTAAGTTAGAGGAAAACAGTTAGGCCCTTCGGCTTTTTCGGTTTCACAGTGTTTCCGCTTCAGGGTTCGCCACCCGCGGTATGGCCCATCGAGTGCAGGGGATTGAGCCGTGCAGAAAGAACATCGAATCAGCCCAGAAACGAGCCCATAACCCCAATAGACCTACCCCATCGCGAGTGGCACATCACGCAGGAAAGCCGCCTGGAAGAGAGCCTTCAGTGTCACCTGAGGGCTGACAACTCCTCCGTGTTGAGGGGCCCTAAACCCTAAACCCTAAACCCTAAACCCTAAACCCTAAACCCTCCCAAGAGAACCCCAAGAGTCAAGGCACTCTTCCTCAACCTCGGACCCCTAAGGTTTTGTCCCCTTGGTTTTGGGGAGCTTTCTAGGGGTGCAACCTTATAGGGTACGAGGCTTTATAACCCCCTGAGGTTTAGGGTTTAGGGTTTAGGGTTTAGGGTTTAGGGTTTAGGGTTTAGGGTTTAGGGTTAGGGTTTAGGGTTTAGGGGTTCAGGGGGGTATCTTGATACCCTACAGTCTTCAAAACCTCAGCCGAAGAGGGCGTCCGGGGCACTCTCACCCTTCTCCCCATCAAACTCTGCCCCCCTGATTTAGGGTTTAGGGTTTAGGGTTTAGGGTTTAGGGTTTACCGAGACAGAAGAGAACTGTGAAGACTGGGACATGGTGACACTCCTGCAGAGGCCCCCCTCTCCGATTACTGGCTCTTGCCTTCGATTGCTCCTTCTCTGCGCGTCCTTGCGAGTCTTTAATGACATTCCCGTATGGTCCCTCTGTGTTTATACTTCACCCCCCAAAACCCTATTCTAATTATCTAGGCCCCTACAGTACATAGATCTCAAGCCAGGACCGCAAACTGGGAGCCCAAATATCCGTCCCAAACCCTTGCCACGAGCGGCCGCGGGCTCAAGCCACAGCGCGCAGTGACCGCCGTCCACGGAGAGGATGCGCAGCGCCCTAGCATGAGAGCTTGCATGAGAGCTTGCGGTGCTTAGGGTTTCGGTTTAGGTTTCTGGGGGTTTGGAGGCATCGTCGAGGGGCTTGGAACGGTAAAGGTACTTGGGGATCGCGAATTTAACGCTCGGATTGGGTCATGATTTGGGGTTCGTTCAATGGCTTCTCCCCAGAACATCGTCTGGCCTCTTTAGCGAATGCCGGTGGCAGAGCGGACACGCCTCAGCGTGGAGAGTCGGAGAACCTACAAAGGCCATTTCTGCCCGCAGAAATGTGCACCGATGGTAAGGCTGGTTCTGGAACAACTCCATGCTTTCCGAGCATACGACTTGCCTACTCCATTTCTGAACACTTCTAGATTCTAGATAGGCATGAGGAGGAAGCCTGGCCCCAGAAGGAAATGCCTAAAACCCTTGCATCGCTCAGCGTGTCGTCAAAACCACAGCACCGTTGCGGCGAAGACGATGCCTTACGGGATGATCCTGAAATACACCAATCGATCTAAAAAAAAACTCTCAACCCTAAACCCTCAACCCCTGAAAACCCTAAACCCTCAACAGGTTGAGTTGAAGTCTTCCAGGTGTCGGGCCGGAGGCCGGCATTTCAAGTGAAGAGCAGGGATCGGACATTCTTGAAGCCTCTAACTGCCTACTTCGTACGGAATCGGGGAGTCTTTCAGCTCCCGGTCACTTGTCGGGGTCCTGTTGCAATACAGCACCTCTTAGACACTGCGCCCAGAAAAGGGTTCATTTATACACTGCCCCTCCCCCTTTTGCCCTGCACTTTGTCGCCTACTGGATACGGTGGCCGGATTTTTGAGGGGTTCAGGGCGTCGTCCTTGGGTGCCAAACAGCTTCAGGTGCTCGACTCACCCGTTCGCCGCGAAACGGTATCCCCGGCACAACACCTACGAGTAGCTTGGAGTTGCAGCTGGCTTCCCCAAGCGATTTTCTGAACCCTGGATAGAATACCATCCGAGATGTGGGGCACACAGCAGCTCGGGCAGTTTTGACACCTCTTCTTTCGCATGCGGCTGGGGCTCGGGCATCGGAAATGCCCTGGCAAGCGGGGAGAAAGAGTGGAGAAGGGCAGGGGGGGAGGGGGCGGGGGAGTACCTGATTTGTGCCTCGAGTTGAGATCCTTTGCTTTGGGAACACAGAGATAGTTTAGGGTTTAGGGTTTAGGCACCTTCTGCACGCCCTGGACCCCCAAACGCAACAAGACCGAAATCCCCATACACACGTGCTCACAGCTGCTTCGTTCAATTAGGCCGCGGAGGTCGATAGCTTCCCGGCACAGCGGATCGACCTTGAATCCTGGTAAGCGCCCCTCTACCTAAACGCTGTAAATCCTATGCTGTTGAACTAGGCAAAACAACATAGCTTCAGGCATAACCTAGTTTTAGGCAAAGCCCTGACCCCTTTTTGTTGAGCTCCGAGGCATGTGACGGGAAGCCTGACCCCCTTTCCCCCTTCTTCCCCCAAAACCTTAAAGTTCATATGGGTAGTTATCAGAAGTTAGGGTTTAGGGTTTAGGGTTTAGGGTTTAGGGTTTAGGGTTTAGGGTTTAGGGTTTAGGGTTTAGGGTTTAGGGTTTAGGGTTTAGGGTTTAGGGTTACTTGCAACCCTACTCATACCCACCCAGGAACCTCCAAGCAGGGCCCTTGAAGGCCTGTGGGTCCACCGAGCCCGGCCCCAAGGCGGATGGTTGAGGCCAGAGTCGCCTGCACAAGTTGACCTTAAGGTTTAGGGTTTAGGGTTTAGGGTTTAGGGCTTAAGGGATATAAGGAGGAACCCCTCGAAGGCGCCCTTCATCTTATTCGCCTTTTAAAGTCCCTTTTGACCGAAGTAGCCCCTACATTACCCTCAAGGTCCCTAAAAAGGGTCCCCCCTTTAGTCCCTTGAACCTTAAAGCTTGTTTGCGCCACCCGTCTAGCAGTCTAGCAATGCTCCGTGGTGCTACTTAAGGTTCGGGTTTAGGGTGCAGCACCCCAAACCTACCATGTCTATGTTTGGGGGTTCTGGGTACGGAACCATATCCCCCTATAGAGCTCTTAGGTAACCTACAGACAATGCTTGGGGTGCTTAAGGTAGATGTTTAGGGTTTCGAGTTGAGTGCCTCCGCTCTCACCCTCGTCAAGCATCCCTTCCCACAACCGGTCCTCAGCTGTGTGTAGGTCTCCACACCTGCCAGAAACTAAATGCAACTACATGGAGATCAATGATGGCAATTATGAGTAGGGTGTAAAGTACCCTCAATGGGGTTATAAATATAGTCCCATACTTGTAACCTACTTATAACTACCCATGAACCTCCAAGTACGCTCTTCTAAACCCTGTCGAATAGAAAGCCGAAGATGCCATAGACCCAGTGTTCTGCCTAACCGGCTCTCTGGCCACGGGGCACAACATGTTGGCATTCCATTTTTCGCGAGATGGCGGAGACTCTCTGCAAGGAACCCCGTCTGCCCTATCGTAGAAAGTCTTGGGGAAGGGGGAAGGGCCGCTGAGCTTTCAGTTTTGGACGGAGGGTGCTCCAAAACAGGGAGAGAAAGCTGCACCGCAATCCTGGTCACCGTTTACCTTCTGATGAGCCGTGACATGACGCTTCGGCCCCCAAAGCTCGTTGCAAGTCTTGGACTTGAGGGCTCTATGGCGAGAATGGGACCTACATGGCGTGGGCTCGCGCTAGGAAAAGAGATTGATTTCTCGGGGTGTGGTCTGGAAAACATCCGAAGAACGGCAGACCGAGTAGGCGGCTTCTTGCAAACCGTTCACCACCAAGTCAAGCCGAGTCCACACCTTGACCTCGATACGCTTGAGGACGTGCAGCCTGCCAACTTGAGCACTCACACTGCTCACCATTGCAGAAGCCGGCCGTGGGCTTGCGCCAGTGATGCGCAGTCGCCAGCCAATGATGTCGCGGAATGTGGCGAAACTCCTCGGTCTGCACATGTTCAGCCTCGGGGCTCCAGTGCCTGCAATGCTCTGCACCTGCCATAGGGACTTCAGGAAGGTCAGGCCACCATCACCGTCTCAGCCATCACCTAGACATGCCCAGTCTTCCATCTCCAAGAGTTCCTGGGCAGAGCCCGGCACCAGCTCAAAAGTAGTGAGGCGCGCCGCCAGTGCCCCATACTCTGCGCGGAAGATCCCCCGCAGCATTCCACGCAGGGCCGCGAGCTGCGGCCTGCAAAGAGCCTGCTTCTCGTGGCGCCCGCCCTCGGCCCGGTTCATCCGTCGCAGCTCCATGTGGTCTAAAGAGGTGAAGAAAGAAGGCTCCACCCCCAAGAAGCTGGCTGCGGCAGCTAGGGCCTCAGGCTCCGCCGTCTGCGAGACCAGCAGCAAACCCAAGTTCTGCCTGGTGCAGCCCTTGGGCGCCAGGGAGCAGGCGAGATCCAGGGCCTGGCTCAGGCGGCAGTGGCCCACGTTCTGCCAGCACTGGCTCGATGCATTCAGGTTCCGCAGGTCCTCCTGAGCTATCAGGGTGCGCACGGGCGTGTGCAAGAAACAGGCAGGGCATCCCTACGTACGGAAAAAGTCTCTTCCAGAAAGGCCAAGCATTACGCTCAGTCTGTGACTGATCTCTGGAACCAGGACATATCGGGAGAACCAATGCTTCAATACGGGAACTCTCAAACACGAACCCCAGTCCCCCTCGTTTTTGAATGCGCTGAACAGGGCGTTCGGCTCCCATGTTCCCATCCCTGTGTTCCTGCCTCCAAGTCGGCGATTCCATCGGGGCTAAAACATGTTGTAGGCAGGTATGCCAGTCTGAACTACTATTTGCTGAAGAACCCACAAAAAAGGTGAAAGATGAAAATCCTGAGGGCGCCCTTGTAAGGATGATTTTTCATTTCGGGGTTCTTCAGCAAACAGATGCAAATAGTAGTGAAGAGCCTCAAGCCGTAACCTGTACACTGTAAGCGTAAACCGGGTGCTACAACTCCCCGTGGCCATGTGCAGTATGAGCTACGAGTATCCCCAAAAGGACACCAATTCTAGACACCCACAAATATTTATGAGGAACCCGAAATACACTCGCCAATAACAACAGTATAAACCCTGTTTAATATACACTCCTACAGTCAAGCCGGACCAACCTGGACAGCCCTTTATGCCCCTTAACTTAAGGAATATTAGCTTAGATCATTAAGGGTCCCTATTTTGTTTGAGGTAGATTCCTTATTTAAGAGGTATTGGGCTCCTTGGGAGCGTTACAAGATGTCTTTCCAAGGTTCCTCGAAGCACCAGGGAGTAGCGGCCTGCCGCCAGGAGCTCACAGACAAAAAGCACTCCTGAGCCGTTGCTTCTTTAGGGTTAGCGTTTAGGGTTGGAGGCTGGTCTACAGTCGAAGCCCCCTTGCAAAGCCCTTCAAAAACACAACTTCTAGCCCCTAGACCCCTTTTTGACCCAACCTCGAATCACCAGCTGAACCCAACTCTTGCCTGGCGTCGATAGGATCCCTGACAGCATAAAGGAGCTTGAGTTGCGGCTTGTCGCGGAGCCTGAGGTGCGTTTGATGTCTCTGCTGGATTTAGGGTTTAGGGTTTAGGGTTTAGGGTTTTTTGTTTGGCGCCCGCATAGCTGGACAAACCACTCCCCAGGGATTCTGGTACGATGACGGTCGACAAGACTGGGTTCGGGGCGGGTTCTTGAGTTTCTGCGTTGCCTAGATGTCCTTCGCTGTTGGGTTCTTTTCGTGTTTAGGGTTTAGGGGTTCAGGTTGGGAACTCTTGCAAAAAAATTAGCTGCCAAAGCGAGTCTACGCGTGACAAACCGGGCTTCAAGCCCAGAAATGCCATCCAAAATTGAGCTGCGGCTGTATTGGGTGCTTAGGAGGTACGAATCTCGGTTTCTCAGTCCTAAAATTACAAAGCCTCAAATAAAAAGGGGGGGGGGGTGTCCCAGAAAAAGGGTAGGGATGTTCGGGGGGGGGGGGGGGGGTCCTTGAAGAAGTCTTATGGTCTTAGCATTTGGGGAATAGGGGGGCGGCCCCCTTTTTTTGATTACATTCCCCCGGCAAGACCCTCAACCCTTCACCGCACCAGCCGGGGAACAGGGCCGACAACAGGAACGGGAAGAGGAAGCGGCTTGGCACCTGGGAATCGGAGAGATTGCTCAGATCCCCGGTGCCGTCCTGAGGGGGGGGGGGGGGCTTGAGAGAGGGTTGGGCGTTTTGGGGGGGGTGCATGGTGCTCCCGAAAATTCGGGGCGCCCTTCTTTTTCCCATCAGTTTTTATAGATGATAGAGATGGCAGCATTTTGGGGGTCTAGTAGGGGTGTTTCTATGGGAAATGCCCTGCCTACACGCTTCGTTTCAGTCTTGGCTCTGCCATCGATTTGGGGGTCTTGGTGTTTTCGGGTTTAGGGTTTAGGGTGTAGGGTGTAGGGTTTAGGGTTTAGGGTTTAGGGTTAAGGGTCCTGGTAGACGGGAGTGAGGTCTGCAACCAAAGAGCAGCCCACCAACCTCGGCAAGGTCTGCAGCATGGTGCCCACGCGTCTAAGGGCCGTTGATGTGCTGTGTCATAACGCCTCCACCACATGCACAAGGAGGCACAGTATGCTAGCTCACCACCCCCTGCCACCACCCGCGCCCACATCCTCAAAGTACACACCCGAATCCCCAACTAGCCCAAGGAATTGCGACGAGCAGCTCGGGTTTTACGGTGGGCACACCCAGGTGGCGCTTCCCTGAGCGGCCGGGCAAAGCGTCGTGAAGAGTCTTTTGTCATTCGTGGTGCCTCGTACTTGCGGCGCCTTCTTCGGAGAACCTGCTGACTGTAGTAGACACTTCCTTTCCTTAACATCCACAGCTGCCCAAAAAAAAGGTCCTACCTATACATCCGGCTTGAGCAGTCGGCCGGGAAATCCGACCTAAACCGCAAACCATCCTTAACGCCAAACCCGTTGGTGTTTGCTTCAGGTCTCGTGGGGTAGGTTGGCTTTGACTGAGGCTGTGCAGGCGAAGTGATGAAGCCTAACCCCTAAACCCCAAAACCCAAAACCCAAAACCCTAAACCCTAAACCCGAAACCCTAAACCCCAAAACCCGAAACCCTAAACCCGAAACCCTAAACCCCAAAACCCGAAACCCTAAACCCCAAACCCCAAACCCTAAACCCTAAACCCTAAACCTTAAACCCTAAACCCCAAAACCCACTTTCCAAGCTCAAGGGTCGCCGGTCGGGATGTCCACGCAGCTCGCAAGGCCTTTGGCTGGCAAACTCTCCTGGGCTTCCCGGGGGCTGAGGGGCTTGAAGGTTTAGGGTTTAGGGTTTAGGGTTTAGGGTTTAGGGCTTAGGGTTTAGGGTTCAGGGTTCAGGGTTTCAGGTTTAGGGTTACAGGGTCCCTGAACATGGCCCCTTAATTGGGGGACATTTAAATTCACATACCCTATACAGTAAAAACCCAAGGGCCCATACTCAGGAAGGCAAGGGACCAGACTAAGCTAAGGGACCATGCAACCTCCCTTCAGGCTTCGAGCCCTGCCCTCAAACGCGTCACTGTTTAGGATTTTGGTCGCCGTGTGTTGCGTCTGTTGGTGGGCCACTGAAAGAATGGCGAGGTGTTCCGTCCGAGCTTCTCAAAAGTGAACTCGGAGATTTCAGGTTCGAGGCCAGGCTAGCTCGGGGGCTGGGGGGTGGGAGGGCGAGGGTTTCGCCCGGTATTTTCCGCAACCCTGCACCCCAACCCCTCCACTGCAAACCAGACCCTGAGCTGAGCCCTCCATCGTACGGCCATAACCTCAAATCCGAAACCACTCCGAAACCTCTAGCACCCTTAACTTCATGCGTCCCAAAACACTGAAACCCTCAACCCTCAACCTAAACCCTAGACCTTAGCTCCAGGCTCGCTCCAGGTGCAAGGCGGGCAGGAAGCGGGAGGACGAGTAGAGGAAGGCGTGCGAAAAGGTGGCGTTGTGCGTGGATTTCAGCCTGAGATGGATCTAGGGTCGAGGAGCATGGCCCGAAACCCTAAACCTGGGGCCCAGGTCTTGTTCCAGGATCTGCCAGCTTCAGCCCTTGGACCCTAAACCCCTTGAATGTTTGAGATGCCGGGTTGGAGCTGTAGTCATGTCGCCTTAGGGGGGGCGGGGGGGTTGGTACTTAAATAACCAAAAAGGGGGCCACCCCTCCCCCGCTCGGCCCTCCGCCAAAGAAAAAAGAAGAACTGGTAACTGGACCCACCCTCAACCAAGAGGTTCGAGAAATGAACAAGGCTGAGCTTAGAAACCTTGGCAACTTGAGTCCTTGTAAGCCTTGGAAACTTTGAACCTGGCCCTGCGGGCCTTGATTGAAACACTGGTACCAGGCTTCGTTTGTAGGGGTGGCGCTTGCGTGAAAGGGATGCATCCGAATATTCCTTAAGGCAAGCAGCGGCAAGAAAACATGCCTTAAATGTGTGTGGAGGCTGCTTCTTCATCGCGCCAGAACCCTAAACCCGAAACCCCATCTATGCAAATATCAGAGAAGCGACCGCAGCTGCGGGTGCAGGCCCAGATTGTACCTGCTCTGCGGTGTTTGGCCATGTCCCCGAGGCTGCAGCAAAAAGGAGCAGCGGAGGTGACCAAGGGTTTAGGGTTTAGGGTTTAGGGTTTAGGGTTTAGGGTTTAGGGTTTAGGGTTGGAAAGACGGTTGGGTCTGGAACAGCAGGTGGGCTCGACACCCCCACCGCCCCCCACCGAAAACAAAAAAACAAGCTAACACCCCCACCCCCCCCCCCCCCCCCGCGGCGCACCGAGCCTTCACGCCATACCGTTTCATGCCCTGAAGGCCTGAATCCGAAGATGCACGAACCCCTAAAAGCCCTAAGCCCCTACAGTTTCAAAAGCCTGGGAATCCGAAATCCCAAAGGAAGAAAAACTGCCCTCAGGGCACTGCAGTGAGGTGGTGCCACACTTTGCCGCCCCCAGCCTTGCTCCAGAGAACCGCACTTCACCCTAAACCTTTAAACCCTAAACCTTTAAACCCTAAACCCCAAACCCTAAACCTTTAAACCCTAAACCCCAAACCCTAAACCTTTAAACCCTTTTTGCATCCAGGCTTGGGTGAGCGTTTAAACCCTAAACCTTTAAACCCTAAACCCCAAACCCTGGAGCGGCAACAAGGGGGGACTCACGGTCCAAAGAATCGCGAACCCGCAAGGCCCTTGACGCCCAAAAGCCCAGTTGCCCCTGAGCCTGAACCCATCACAAAAACCTTACTGGGTTTAGGGTTTAGGGTTAAGGGTTAAGGGTTAAGGGTTAAGGGTTTAGGGTTTAGGGAAGCCCGAGCCCCTGAGCCCTTGTTGGGCACGGAACGGAGGAAGCTGCCGGCAACCAAACCCTAAGCTCCCTAAACCATAGACCCTTGTTGTCCATCTGGGGTAGGAGGATGCCAGAAAAAAAAAAAAAAAAACAGCATGCGCGACCCGATCAGCCGAAACTCTATACCCTAAACCCTAAGCCCTTCAACGGTTCTCACGCCCGAATCCAGGGCGCCCGAGAAAAAGTAGAGACTCCCGGGCCAAGCAGCACCAGCCAATCCAACCGGAGGGCTTTGAAGGTGGTCAGCCTTTGAGAGCCCAGGGGGGCGCCTTGAAATGTGCTGTTAATGTTATTTCTATTGTTGTTATTATTCTTGCTATGGCTATTATTGTTGCTATTCTTACTAGTATTGAATATTGACGGTATCAGTATGTTAGCGAGGGCTTTCAGATGCTGGTATATTTTGGGCTAGGGCTTCAGGGCGCTTGAAGGGCTTTTGGGTTGAGGGCCTGGGGCTTCGGACAACTGCTGGGAGCGAACAGGGCTTAGTGTGTCGCCTCGTGAGCACCAGCCCGCTGCCATTGCTCAGCATGGCCGGTGTGAGCGAGGCGGCCAAGTCCGCTTCCGCCTCTGGGGGCTTAGGGTTTAGGGTTTAGGGTTTAGGGTCTGCAGCTGGAGCTTCGCGCGGGGGGGACTTAGAATGTGAGCTTGAGGCATTGAGTATTCAGTCTATACTGAGGGCTTAAAGTCGGGGGGAGGGTTTTCTTGGAGGTTCATGGGTAGTCGTACGTAGGGTTATCAGTATGGGAACTATCCTGAAACCCCATGTAGGGTACTTATAACAGTACTTATCACTAAGTAGGCAGTTGGGGTTCGAGATGGCTTCCGGTTTTTCGGGATTTTTCGGGAAAAGCACGAGTGGGCTGCCCATGGCCCTAAGCCTCAGGTGCATTCTGCGCCAGCATGAGCCCCAGGAGCAAGGCGGCTTCTGCCCGCGCAAGGAGCAGCCTGACAGGGTTTTAGGGTGTAGGGCTGCTAGGGCTTGGGGTTTGGGTTTTCTAAACTGAACTTGGAACCCTAGCAAAGACTATAATCTTAGCTGTTTCCTAATTAGGAATTGTGGTACCCAAACATTTAAAAGTATTTCCAAGTATCCCAATCATTTAAAAGTACAGTATTTCCAAGTATCCCTAAGGTTTAGGGTTTAGGGTTTAGGGTTTAGGGTTTAGGGTTAGGGTTTAGGGTTTAGGGTTAGGGGTTTAGGGTTTAGGGTTATGGGTTTGGGGTTTAGGGTTGAAGGAGAACAGAGCCGCACCTCTGTGCGGAGTTGACCGGGCAGCGGGCCTATCATTTTTCCGCCTGCCTACGGTCCTACACCGTGCATAGCAGGGAGATTCCCTAAACCCTAAACCCTAAACCCTAAACCCTAAACCCTAAACCCTAAACCCACCGGAAACATTCCGCTCGAAAGAAACTTCGGACCTCTTGGGATCTCAAAGCCCTGCAGACCGAGTCTGGTACTGCGCCTGCCCAAGGGGCCGAACCTCTCGCGCACGAGGTTGCACAAGCCGCCCGAAACCGCAGCTAAACCCAACCACAGGGTTTGGGCTTTTTTTTTCAGTTTAGGGTTTAGGGTTTAGGGTTTACTGTAGGGTTTTTCGGGTTTAGGTTTGGGGTTTAGGGTTTAGGGTTTTATTCTAGGGTTTTTTGTGTTTAGGGTTCAGGGTTTAGGATTGGACTTTCGGAGCCTCCTGGAAAGGCAGACAGTTGTGGCCACGGACCGGGGGCCGGCGGGTCCGGGAAGCACGCCTCGGCTGCGCAGCCTTTTAGGGTTTAGGTTTTAGGGTTTGGGGTTTAGGGTTTGGGGTTTAGGGTTTGGGGTTTAGGGTTTCGGGTTTGGGGTTTAGGGTTTGGGGTTTAGGGTTTGGGGACTCTACCAGGGGTTGCTAAGGTTGTGCCCTTGGGTTTGGGGACCCTTTTTGTGTTAGGGCCATGTTAGGAGTATATGAAAGCGAAACCTTTCGGGATACACCTTAGGGGTACGAGTCCTAACCCCTTGAGTTCAAGGTACCGCCTTGCAATCAGCTACATGCACCATCACGAAACACCTCGGGTTTCGCGGCCTTGCTGTTGAAGGTTGGGAGCCTCTTGGGTCCTGGCTTACAGGGTCCGAAAGTCAGAGGTCCTTTCAAAGCCAGGAGCTTGCAAGCTCGTAGTACAGGCGGCCGTTCTGCCTGCCGGCACAGAAATCCACACGTGCCGTGTTGTGTATGGGGCTTAGCCGTTCATTTGTGCTGTCGCTGTCTCAGGTGCTCAGGGCTTGGCTTCGTGGGGCTGTCGAACAGCTAAAACCCCCCCGAAATGGACAGCCTGCACTGGTGAAAACGCTCGCGCACCGTCTCCTCCATGAAGCGCCACTCGCCTTAGAGAAAAGGCTGGGTCGGCAAGGACGCTGATATGGTCTTGACACTCTCCTCAACCCTCAACCCTAAGAATAATTGAGCTCCAAACCCCTCCAACTGCACAGACCGGCCCTCAGCTAGAGCAAGGTGGGGAGTTCTGGTTTTAGGGTTCAGGCTTTAGTTTCCAAAAAGCCGTGTGCATGAGGAGGGCGACTGCCAACTTTTTGGAGCCGTTGCTTCGGGAATCCCCGAACCTAGGTTTAGGGTGTAGGGAGAAGGGTTTTTCTCGCCACCGGACTGGCCAGGCATGGTCAGGGAGACTGTAGGCTGAAGCGTCTCTGTGACACTGACTATGGCCCCTGTCCGTCACCGGATGAAGGCCGACAATTGATTCGGTCGAATCAGCTGACTGCAACCCTTAAACCCTAAACCCTAAACCCTAAGCCCTAAACCCTCCACAAACCCAAGCCCTAGATACCCCACCAGGGCTGCCGCATCAGCATGCTCTTCTGTCGGTCATCTTCCAGGGCAGCTTTGAAGTTTTCTCACATAATCAAGGTCTAGCACCATGTGCAGTGCCTTCTTCTTTTCTTCACCCCTCAGGCTCAGGGCAGGCTTCAGTCCTAAGCAGGGTCGGCTCAACTTCAGGATCTATACATCCCCAACCTCCCCCCCCCCCCACCTTGGAACCTGAAACCCTAAACCCTGCAGTGCCCCAACCACGGGGGACTTTTCCAAAGACAAGTCCCGTTGTGGGGCTCCTTGTTGCTAGGAATTCCACTACAAAACACGTCCCCACAACGCAAGGAGCGGTGTTAGAAAACCCCCCCCCCCCCCCCCCCCCCACCTCCCCACCCGCCCCACCCCCCCCACCTGCCCCACCCCCCCGCCCCCGCGACCATCGAATTTTTGTGGCAAAGATCTGAGGCTGCCAGTGTAGTGGCCATCGAAGTCCTGGAGCTTCCCCCCCAAATTCAGAGCAACAAGGGTTTAGGGTTTAGGGTTTAGGGTTTAGGGTCCCAACCGGGCCCTTAAACAGACTTCTCAAGGGGTTAAGACTCGTAGCCCCAAGGCTGTACCCCTAAAACTTTCCCCTCATATGGCCCTCATATTACCCTTAGGAGTTTTTCCCGAAAGCATCGCGAAGGGTTCTTCCGTGCGGAGCCCCCTGACACAACAACATAGACTGAAGTGCATAGAGCGAAGTGCATAGAGTGAAGTGCATAGAATGAAGTGCACAGAGTGAAGTGCATAGAGTGAAGTGCATAGAGTGAAGTGCATAGAGGCAAGCGCACAGAGTGAAGTGCACAGAGTGAAGCGCATAGAGTGAAGTGCATAGAGTGAAGTGCATAGAGTGAAGTGCATAGAATGAAGTGCATAGAGTGAAGCACAGAGTGAAGTGCATAGAGTGAAGTGCATAGAGTGAAGTGCATAGAGGCAAGTGCATAGAGTGAAGTGCATAGAGGCAAGTGCACAGAGTGAAGTGCACAGAGTGAAGTGCATAGAGTGAAGTGCATAGAGTGAAGTGCATAGAGTGAAGTGCATAGAGCGAAGTGCATAGAGTGAAATGCATAGAGTGAAGTGCATAGAGTGAAGTGCATAGAGGGAAGTGCATAGAGTGAATTGCATAGAGTGAATTGCATAGAGCTTAGTAATCAGTGAATACAAATTTCTAGATTTACGTAGAATTTACTAGACCTTCGTACCCAGTCCTAGATTTCTAAATTAAAATTACTCTTTTTACTCTTTCTAAGGCGGCGGGCTGGGTTGACATCGCCAATCGGGATTGCAACCCTCTGCGGGTTTCGGCGTGGTCGCGGTGCTAAAACCGTCGTTTTTTTACGTTTCTTGATTTGCGCGGACAACCCTCTGCGGGTTTCGGCGTCGTCGCGGTGCTAAAACCATCGTTTTTTTACGTTTCTTTCTGTGCGCGGACAACCCTCTGCGGGTAATCGCTGGGTCGGCCACTACCTCAGCCCTCACCTGGCTGAGGACGCGTACCGCCCTCAGACACAGTGGGTGAGTGTCATGGCAGTGGTGACGGCATCAACGGATGCCGCGGAGTGTGCGCAAACCATTTTGTTTAGCAAGTGGGGTGACTTGCTTGGGAGTCTTGGCGCATTGTTCAAGGGGAAGTTTGAATGCGTCGTCAAGGCTATGGGGACATGTATGCAGTGCTTTCAAGAGGCAGTTGCATACTTCCGCCTCCGCAATCAAAGGGAGGAGCAACGCCAGATGCACATCACCAATGGAAACATCCCTGCCAAAATCCGGGCCGGGTCGAAGCTCAAGAAGGCTCCCACGCCGAACATGACTAAGGTGAAGGTTGTGTCTGTGCTTGAAGCTCAGCAGATGCCAAAGGCCAGCCACACATACGACACACTGCGTCACAAGAACGCAAAGCGAATGAATGAGATTGCAAGCATGCCCTGTCACGAGATCTTTCCTGCCATAGAGAAATGGCGTCAGGAGTGCCCTACTTCCGAGTCCAACGATGCAAGCCTTGTGCCTCCACGTCCGCCAGCAGGACGTGCAGATGAAGCAGAAGCAGAGTTTCAGCCGGTTCTCAGCCGTCGCAAAGTGAAGGCCGCGAAGCGAGAGGCCAATCTCGCTGCAAAGCGTAAGCTTGATGCCGCCCACTGGAATGCACCCATCCTCACTGCCCCGCCGGTTCGTGGAGTTGAAGGTGTGTATCTTGCAAACAACAGTGCTGATGCTGAGGCGCTTGTGACCGGTGGCTTGTTTGACGGCTACACCTTTGCAGGGAAGCTGGCAGTGCTTTTCTTGGGCACGCCTTCAAACAGCCTTTTGAGCGCAGCGCAGCAGCACCACATTAACCCGGTGCCTTGCAGCATCCCTGTCATGAAAGGTGTTGGCACATATGTCGAAACAGGTTTCGTGTGGCAGATCGGCGCTCAGGAGGTCAAATCCTTGATCGTTCCGCTTGAGGTTAATTGGTCCACCACCCAGCAGCCCACGATTGTTGCAGTCGATGTTGCGTGCAATCATGCGTCTAGCCAGCTGTGGGGTCGACTGTCTCAGGCTTGGAAGAGCGTTGTCATGTCGTGCGAGCATGAAGAATGGAAGAAGCAACAGCAAAAACTTGGCAAAAAGCCATGGCAAGCCCTCAATGAGGAAATGACGGCCATGATTCGGGCCAAGGGTGGCCCTGAGGCTGTCAATGTTAGCGTGTATGGGGCCAAGCTCAACACACTGTTCAAAGGCGATACCTTTACCGCCACCTTTCGTGCAAGCGATGCCCTTGTTGCCAAACTGCGTGAATGCAGTGGCGTGGATGGTGTGGCATTCCGTAGGACCTCCTTTGGAAACACGGAGCAGTACGACAAGGAAGAGGTTGAAGAATCCAAAGTGCCGTTCCCTCACTCTGTCCCTTTGGATACAGCGCTGGAGCAGCTCAAGCAGCTTCCGGGCCACAAAGGCCTGTACTTCAAAAGGGATGGCCACTCACTGATTGCAAGAGTTCCCAAGTCGTCGGAGGATGCTGCCTGGAAGTTGATTGCCTCGCGAACAGTTCCCGGCAAGTCCATGTACGAGATTGACCAGCTGCCAAGATCCCTTGCTGCAGAGGACTTGGTAAGCCTTTTGCAGAAAGAGGTGCACTGGGACACGGAGGTCGTCCGTGTCAAGACGTGTGGCACCAAGCAGTCCCCGTGGAAGAAGGCGCTCGTGAGGGCAACAACGGAGCCTGCCCACACCTTTTTGCAAATCCAAGGTCGCATTTCCACCATCCGCCCGTACGCCAAAGATGGCCCCAAGCCCACGAGTGCGGCCAGTGAAGTCCAGAAGCCAAAGGACTTTGCCCAGCTGGCTCAGGAGCGCACTGGGCTGGGGCAGCAGAGCTTTTACAGCATCATCAAGAAGGCGCCGACCGTCGCGCATGCACCGGATGCCTCGCAGCCCACGCCCACCCCGGCCTCCACGGCCATGGACACCTCGTCCCCGCCGGAGCCTCTTGGGGTAGAATCCCTCCAGAAGGCCATTGTCAGTTCTGTGATGCAGGCGCTAACTGCACAGGTTACAACCATGGTAGGCCAGATCCAAGATAGCTTGATGAAGAAGTATGAGCAGGATCAGGCTAGCATTCACGCCACCATGCAGCAGCAGATTGAGCAGCTTACGCTGGACACCCTCCAGCGCAAGGCGGCGCGCACGCAAGGGTGAAGTGCAGGCTTCGGCGATGTTGCGCCCTGTCATCAATTCTCCCCGCATGTCTCTGGATCCTGTTGCTAGCAATGATGATGTTCACCATCTTGTCTGGTAATGTCACAAGTTTCCATAAAAGGGCTGAGGCAGTTCTTGCGCAGGCCTCTACTGATGTAGTGTGTATGCAGGAAGCCCGTGTTTCGCAGACTGGTGCGATCAAGGCGGCAGCCACTGCCCGCCGACATGGGTGGAACATCGAATTAGGGAAGGTTGTGCCGCAAAGGCGAATTCAAGCCAAAAGCCGTGCATCACATGCCAAGCGTCATGTGCGATGCTCTCCTCTTCAAAGCACTGAGGCGACTTATGTTGCTACGCTTTCCAAGTATCCTCTGCACACTTGTGGAACAGCGTGCCCTGAAACTAAGTTCCTCAAAGAGTCCGGACGCTGGACGCGGCATGCCATAGCCTTAAACAAACTGGATGCCAATCAGCGTTGCAGGCATGACTGGTTCCACGTGGTTAACTTTTATGGAGTCTCGCACCCAGCTAATGCCATCCAGGTGACTGAGAAAAGGCGACTTTTCTTTTCAGCGTTTGAGGAAGCCTCGCGTTTGGGGGATGTCCCTGTCGCTGTATGCACTGATGCCAATTATGCTTGTGACCATAAAGCGGTTAAAGACCTTTTGGCAACAGAGCAGTGGTTTGATGCCGCGGCCTTGTTTGCAGGACCTGAAGGCCCAGATCACACCTTCTCGATGAGCCCCAAATGGGATGGTTATCAACGTCAAGGGTCTAGCCGCCCCGACTACGTTTTCTTGAACCGTGCAGCGCGTCAGGCCTGTGTTGAGTGCTGCGTTAGGCGGGATTTTTCAATTAAAAACCATTTATTCCTGCAGGTAAGGTTTGATTTGCGTGTCTTGCGTCAAAATTTCCTTGCACGCATCCTTCCCAAGCCCTTTCCCATTGAGAAATTGCCCCCTGCGGATGATGAGCTTAAAAATTTTCTTGCAGAGGAAGCCATACGCTTCACAGGCTTTGACTTGGCTCTGTTGCAGGGTAGCCGATCTGATACCAAATGGCGCATGTTTGGTCAGGTCTTGGATAAGTATCTGGAGTTGAGATGTGGCTCTTCCCTGTCGAAAGGGGGGAGTGGAGGTCGCCTCACAAGACCCGATATGCAACTCCGTCGTGTCGCTACCCTGCCTGTGTATGTCCAGGGTGTAGAGACTCCAGACAGTGTTGGCACTAACTATCTGCGTAAATTGGCTTGCATCATGCGACGACTCCGTGAGTTGCGCCACAAGATCGGTCACGTATCGCTGCTGCACCAAATGGACTGCCAAAAGCTGTGGAAACAAGTTGCTTATGACTCTTGCAAACTGCTAAAGTCTGCAATTTTCCCTTTTTGGAATTCCCCTATGCCAGATGCTCCCCTTCTGCACTTCTTGCATGAGATGCTTGACACTCACCGTCTCGATACTGAGCGAGAGAATGCATGTGCGCGTGCTCAGGATTTCCGCACCAAGCTGCGACGCAGCTATGCTACGGGAGGACGAGCTGTCTTTCAAGCGCTGCGTGAAGCCAAGCCTGCACCGCTTCAATCCATCAGAGATGCATCCGGCCAAGTTGCTACTAACGTAGAACATATCTTGCAAACCTTGAGTGATGCTTGGGGCACCCTTTGGAACAAGGAGCGTCATTGTGAGTGGTCCGCATTCCGAGAGCGTTATGCCAGTCACATACCATGCCACAAATGTGAGGTACCAGACCTCACCGGTGTGCGACTCCAG